ATGAGTACCTCCAAGACTTGTAGTATAAAAAACTGGTTTGGATTATTCCTACTAAATATTGCAGTCAAGATTCTAGTAAAATGAGGAAATTCAGATGATTTGTAAAATTTGATGATTTCTCTTTTACGTTATTAATAAAGAGAATGTTATTTTAATAAGACTATATTCTGAGGTCTGAAAATATTACATAAGTATTTTATAAACACAAAAAGTCTGTATAAATGATCATTTCCCAATTCCCATTCCAAAATTGATCAATATTCCATCTTCACATTCCTGCTCCTCTATAGCCATAATTCTGATGTTCCAACAAAGAAAAAAAATGAAACAAACAAACAAAAAAAACCAAGGCAGCATTCTCCAGGAGAATTGTACAGTGGCCATACAGATCAATGCATTAATTCACAAAGAGGTGGCATAAAGTCACCAAAAGTCAGGCACTCCCACTATCAGTCCAATGGTTCCTCTTGGTTTGCCACTGAATTCCACATCATATACTGTGGTACACTCTTTTGTAAAGTTGCACATAGCTTGTATTGATTTCACTATTTGGAACTTGCTTTTTTTAAAAAAAATTTGAAGATCTAATTGGCTTTAATTAAGAGATTCAGAAAAGGAACAGGTTCCCACCAAGCCATTAGAAGGACATTTTCTGTACAGAGGCAAAGAAATATCAAACAGACTGTCAAACTACAGTGGGAAGGCAGGGGAAGGTTGGGGTAAGGGATTAAGAGACCAACCAAAGGATTTGAATGCATGCATATAAGCATAACCAATGGACACAAGACACTGAGGTGGGTGTGGTTTGAGGGCATGTGCTGGCAGGTAGGAGAGGTCGGGGGTGAGGGGAGAGGTCAATGTCAACAGAATTAACCTGCCTTAGTAACCCCACAGTATTCCATCACTAGGTGAGAGCAGCCTTCAGGAAGTGTGGCCTCAAAGGGATGGATCTCAGCAGTTGGAGCCATCTGTTAAGTATGTGGCTACTTCAGAGAATTTTGTATTTTCATGACTTCCACAACAGGGAGCTAGACACAAAGATTACCAGAACCAGACCCTCTGTGCTAATATGATCCCTTCCTCAGAGCTGAAGCACCTGTTTCAATGATGCAGAGATGTCTTTATTGCCCATCAGCTAGGATGTTTTTGAGAACAACTGATCTAGCATAGTGCTTGGTGCAAAGTGTTAGACGAATGTTTGGTATGAATGAGTAAACTGAAATCAAGATAAGACAGAATCAAAATGGGATGAGAAATATATCTGCTCCTGGAATATTACAGCAGCAAGCAGCAACTGGCCAGACCCACCCCTTTCTTAGAGAGATCTGCTCACTGAGCAATAAGAATACAAACTTCAGCTGCCACAAACATTTCATAAATATTTCTCTCTGGCTGAAAGCAACAACCAGATATCAAGGCCAAGAAACTCCACTCATAAACTTTTGAAAATATATTTTCCAGGGTTAACCTGGAAATATTGTTCTGGTCACCTGGCCAGTTCCACCAAGTCACCATGACAATGTAATAATAGTGGAGTCAAACAAAATAAACTCAGATGAACAGAGAAAACATAAAGTTCTTAATTTTATCTACAAGTAATATGGTTTATGTCCTGAGCCACCACCTACTGGTCGGGGGATGTGTTTAACCCAATAGGATGATGTGAAAAAATGTCTGCAGAAAAAATGTTCAGTTTCTTCAGATTTATTTTTTTAAATCTTTATTGTTGAAAGCATTACATATATCCCCCTCTTTTCCCCATTGACCCCATCTAGCCAGCCCCCTACCCTGCCCCAGACCTACATATGCATACAAGTTCTTTGGCTGATGTTTTCCCACCAACCCCTCCTTCCCTCTGAGATTTGTCAGTCTGTTTCATGCTTATATGTCTCTGGATCTATTTTGTTCATCAGTTTCTTTGTTCATTAGATCCACATATGAGTGAGATCATGTGATACTTGTCTTTTTCAGACTGGTTTATTTCATTTAGTATAATACTTTCCAGGTCCCACCATGCTGCCTCAAACAGTAAGAGATCCTTTTTTATTGCTGCATAGTATTCCATGGTATAGATGTACCACAGCTTTTTTCTTTTATAATATATATTTTATTGATTTCAGAGAGGAAGGGATAGGAAGAGAGAGATAGAAACATCAATGATGAGAGAGAACCATTGATCAACTGCATCCTGCACTCCCCATACTAGAGATCAATCCTGCAACCTGTGTATATACCCTGACTGGGAATCAAACTGTGACCTCCTGGTTCATGGGTTGACACTCAACCAATGAGCCATGCCACCCAGGCAACCACAGCTTTTTATCCACTCATTTACTGATGGGCACTTGGGCTACTTCCAGATTTAGCTATTGTAAATAGTGCTGCTCTGAATATAGTGGTGCATATGTTCTTTCTGATTCATGTTTTAGGCTTCTTGGGATATATTCCTAAAAGTGGGATCAGAAATCTCTGAGACATCCTTCCTGTGCCACACTTCTCTCCTTTAATTAGGATCCAGGTATATGGGGAGAAAGGTGAGATTAATTCTGCCTCCTGGTGACAGAGAAGTGTCCCAACCTCTCTCTTAGTATCCTTGTCTCCTCAGGCTTCCAGAAAGAGGTCCTTGTCCCTTGGTTGCTGCTTGCCCTGCCTCCCAACTGCCAACAGACAGCTTGGGAGCTGAGAAGGGATATTGCATAAGGCAAAGAGCACTGGTAAGCCATGAAACTGAGAAATTTTGGAATGTATTTTTTTAAATATATTTTATTTATTTTTTACAGAGAGGAGGAGAGGAGGAAGTTCTCACAGAGGGGGGGAATCAGGAATCTCACTGGTTCCACTGAAACCCCCTTTCTCTCTCCTTCTCTTTCCCACCATCCCCTGGGAATGGGAGGTCTGCTCCTTCCATGTTCTCTTATACCAACAGCAACAAGAAAGTTCACGGATTCACTGTCATAAGAGTAGGACACCATGAGCTACATACTCCAGACTCAAACCTTGATTAAAATTCTGATAATATTGTAGCGCATTTACTATGCTTTAGTTGGCAAAATACTTTCCATACATTGTTTTATTTAATCCTCACACCATTCCTATGATGTAAGCCTATTTGATAGTAAAGGAAACTGAAGTCCAAGGAGGTTGGTGACTTGACATAGAACATGCATCTAATTAGTGGTGGGGAGTCAGGATTTGAACTCAAATGTGTGTGATTCCAGAACTAACTCTCTTAGCCACTATGTTATATATACTTCTAGTCCAGCAAAATGTAGAAATACAAGAAAATAATTTATAACTGTCAGCAGCAGTTAATGGAGTTTATAAGCCACTTTTGCTCTCTTAAAAAAGAATTTCTTGCAGGATAGGAAGAAATAACATTGACTTTCCACCTATCCAAACTCAAGAAAATTAGAAACAAAACTTTAAGATGCTCTAGCTAGCCCTATTCATCAGTGGTTCGGAAAGAGAAGGGATATTGCATACGGCAAAGAGCACTGGTAAGCCATGAAACTGAGAAATTTTGGAATGTATTTTTTTAATATATTTTATTTATTTTTTACAGAGAGGAGGAGAGAGGGATAGAGAGTTAGAAACATCGATGAGAGAGAATCATCGATCAGCTGCCTCTTGCACACCCCCTACTGGGGATGTGCCCGCAACCAAGGTACATGGCCTTGACAGGAATCAAACCTGGGACCTTTCAGCCTGCAGGCCTGACGCTCTATCAACTAAGCCAAACCGGTCTCGGCTGGAATGTGTTTTTGTTGTTATCTTTTTCACTGACAATCCTCCTAGACCCAAACTCACTAATTGTCAAGATCTATGAATCTGGCCCAAGAGGTCAGAGAATACTAAAAATGAGAAGTAATCCCATGCAACTTAAAATAGAGGTTCTGATGGAAACTAGGAGGGTCTCTTTTTTAAGAGAGCAAAAGTGGTTTATAAACTCCAACAACTGCTGCTGACACATTGTAGTGGAGGAAAGCCATGCTCTGGTTCTTTGGGCAGCAAACAACTAGTGTTTTAAGGGGTTTAGCAACTCAAGCTAATTCACTGAGAGCAAAACAAAACAAACAAGATGGCCCCTTCCAGTATTTCTCAAAACTGGGCCTGAGGTATTAATTGGGTAATTCTTCCCCATACCCTGAGACTCAATGAGGAGCTAGCTCAGCCAACTGGACTCTCAAAGCAGACTCTCACCCAGGGAATTCCAGGTTTCCAGCCACACTCAAGGCTCTAGTGGAATGAACAGTAGTGGTAACTTCAGCATGTTCACTGCACCATATCTAAATCTGTTAGGTCAGGGTCGGGCTTAATGGAGCCACAGGAAAATAGAAGGGAGGGAGGCTTCAGAAGCTAGCCAAAGGCACCAAGAATCAAACAGCATCCAAAATCTCTAGGAAAATGTCAGGTTCCATTAAAAGAGAAGAAAATCCCATGCCTGAGGCAGAAGGCAGAATCAGGAATTAAGGGAAAGGCAGGGAACCAGAAGGTCAGAGCTAGGCAGAGATGTCAAAGTGACAGAAAATAGCAACAAGTGAACAAGAGTGGGTAAGAATGAAACCAAGAGCAGGGGGTAGGTCAGGGTGAACAAGCAGATGCCAATCCAGACAGCATGGGTCTCCTGTGCTAAACTGCCCTGTGCTGAAGAGAAGCAAAGATTTCTACCAATTACAGGAAGACCTGTTTCAGAATCCATTTTGGTAAATTAGGAATGAATATTAAATCATTCTTTTAAGTTTCAATAGATGCCTTTTTCAAAGAGAATTTTAAGTTATGTTCGAATTATAACGTTTCCCAGCAGTTTCAAGAGGCAAACATTAATTTGAAAGCAAACAGATCAAATGACATTTTATTCCAGTCATTTTAGAAATGAATATATACATCCCAGAACCATCCAAAAATTGATTTCTGGTTACATATGACCAAATGCAAGTAGTGTGGTGATCCTTCATGCTACGTCAAAATATAACAAAATAAGAACAATAACAATAGCAATATGTATTGAGTATTTTTACTCCATGTGGGACTCGAAGCATTTTTCATGTTGTTAATTCATCCATTCCTTCAAACAATTCTACCAACAAAATATCATTCCCATTTTATAAACAAGAAAAGGGAAAGAGAAAGAGGTTAAGGAACTTCCCTGAAGTCACCTAGTTCCGAAGGTCCGGGGGTCAGGATTGGAACCAAGGCTCTCAGGGTCCACATTCCCATAGCTTCACTGGGGAGAGCCCCATCAGTGATAAAATTTTGATTCAGGACTGCCATGTGTCTTGGATATGTTCACAAGTTTGATAATTCTTCGTGATCTTAAGCAATAATATTCTCATTGACTTCTAGCCACTGTTCAGTAATGGTAAGTAAATCAATGCCTATGTAATTGTAGTAAACTAAATTCGATTAAACTTATAAAAACTACTTACATTATTTTTAAATAAAACTCTGAAAATTTAAAAGCAGATGTCCATCTGGGGTCATTTTAAAAATGCTTGGACTTTTGCTCAATCTAAAAAATAAAAGTACTTGAAATTTTACTTTAGCAAAATGGCAAAGGAATGCAAGGATAATTGTGATAGAAGGAAAATGACTTCATCACTGGAAGACTGGATTGGAAATAGGATCCAAGGGTCTTGATTGCCATTCCTCGGCACTGGCCATCACACAGTGGAGTTGTGGAAATTGGCATCTTGTGGCAACTGCTGCATAGCTCACGGCTAGTTACAATGAGAACTTTACCTATTGAGCACTTTATACAACATACTGTGCTAAAATGCTGGCACACATGGTCTCATGCATCTCTAAGGTGATCTCACAGTCCACATTTTAAAATGAGGGATGAGCAGACTAGACAGGTGATTAAAGTAGCTCACTTAAGGACAAAAGTCTTAGAAAATGGACAAACCAGAATTCAAATCAAAGTCTGTGGGACTGCAATGGTTTTGCTCTTCCCCACAAGTCCACTAGACTGTTTTACTTAAAAAAGTTTATCATTGTCAGTATAAACTTTACCTTAAAGCTAGGTATCAGCTCACTACGTTGAGTGCATAGTTATTAAAATACAACTCTATCTCTACATAGTAACAGTGCTCTAAATATATTGACATTTTCCAAAGACTGTTTTTGCGGTCTCCAAAACAACCATGCAAAGAGAGGCAAGAGAAGTGTCCTAGTGGGGACAGGTTAGCATTACTCTCTCTCCTTCCTACGGCTCTCTCCTATCCCTTCTGTCATTTTACGGGGAAAAGCGTTCCTTGGATCCAGGCTTCCGATGACCAGACTTACACCAGAGCAGCTCCACAAACGTCTGCTTCAGCTTACTGTTTCCCAGAATGAGAATCCACGAGTGGCAGGCAGGATAAAACATGGTACTTACTTCTGAAATCAGCTTAGTCATTCCAGTTCCTCGTAGGAAATAATGGGATGATGTGAGTAAATAGGCAAGGAAGTAAAACAGGAGGAGAAAGAAGAAGGAGAGGACCATTTTGATGGCCTTCTTGTGGGCCTCGGAGCTGGGGTCGCTGGTGCTGGTTCTGCTCTGCTGCATCTGCCGCGTGTGCTTCCCCAGGGAGAGGATGAGCAGGATGTAGGAGGCCGAACACACAATTAGGGGAGGGAGGTTCCACAGTGTCCCAAGAACATGGATCACCTCATATTCATTCCTTAGCTCTCTAAAGTGCTCAGTCACATTCCCCAAGTCATTAGCTCTCTGGAGAACATAATACATCTTAAACTGTAGAATCAGAGACATGGCATCACTACATGAGAAGAGCAGCCCACCCAATAGCATCCATACGACGACCCTGGCAACTCTCCACTTGAGCCAGAGGAATGTGGGGTGGGAGAAATTGGCGATTTTCAGGCAATAGAAGACACCGAGACAGGTGCCAAGCCAAATGCTCAGATGATTTGTAAATGTCCAGAAAATATCAATAACTTGAATTAATGCCCCATTATTAAATAGACTGCGAAAAAATATATCTTTTACACAATCAAACAAGAGAATCCACAGCTGAACAATCCTGGAGAGAGCCAGGTTAGTGATGATGAAGTCAGATAAAGAGATTTTCTTGCTCTTGACCCAGCCGCTGCCATTGACCAGCACAATGAAGACATTCACCAGCATTCCCAGAACAAACTGAGCGATAGAAAGAAAGAGAAGCACCCCCTTGATGGGTCCTGACATTCCAGCTTCCAGGCTGACCTGATCTTGGTTCTTTCTGTTGCTGTACAAGCGCTTTGCTGATTTGAAATTTCTCCCTGTGAACCTGTTGCCTCTACCTGCTGCTTCACTGAACCTGTCTCTTTTCTTTTCCCCGTTTAGGCTGCTGTAGAGCACAGTTTCTGGAAACCTCTCTGGCTCTTTCAGGTTAGTCTGTCCTCTTCACAGATAACATGGATCTGTGATCTAAACTCAGCTGCTTGTTGCCAACATGCAAATAGAGTCGTGTCCAGTGTCACACAGAGAAGAGAGATGTGAGTCACAAAGAAGATGGAAGACTTGGATTCAATTTCAAAGGGAAGCAGGGCTCTGAGCCACCCAGAACAGAAAAGTGGGTGTCACTGGAAGAGTCACACAAATGATCAACAGGGAGGGGACAGAAAGGGGAAATCACAGAATTCCACCATAAGGCACTGTCAAGTGCTCCCCAGAGTCCCCCTGGAGGAAGGCCAAGTCTCTAAATAGAAAAAGTTTAGCCACTACCACTACTGTGCCTCTTGTAGTGTGCCTTACTTGGGGGCCCCTAGTTCCTCCCCAGTGAGCCATATTATCAGAAATATAACATATATCAGTCACCCAAAGACCTGCATGATAGCAATAATGGAACACAGCATATAAGGTATTCAAAATACGAATTTTCAGAATACATGACCACTGTGTAGGAGTTCTGAGTTCAATCACCTCAGGAGGCAGTGGGGTGACCCAGGCAGGTCACTGAAATCCAAGTTCCTTTACTGATTTTCAAAGACTACGAGAATGTGTGAATAATGAATGCTGGCAATTTGAGCACTAATAGGATTGTACCTCTGAGCACTGTGCCATTGTGACATCCTTTTCAATTAGTAAAACTACTGTAATTATCATAACCTGCATGTCTTTTTCCATATGAATAATTGTAAATCTACTTTTGCCCACCCCATATTGGTAAGTAGTTAAGCTGACAGAGATCACACATAGATAGCACTTGTCAAGCAAAGAAGGCTTATTTACAGAAATGCCTTACAAATGTTGACCATGACTAACAATATTTTATGTGATATGTATACAAGTGAACATCACTATATAAAAAACATATATGTCACAATCTAAATATAAGTGTGAAATATATACTGTATATATGTGTGTTTGGGAACATGAAGGTTTCACAAAACCATATTTCCCTGTTCTATGTGTGTGGCTTTCTCATATTCAACTTCCTTCAATGTTGCTTGCTGATCACAAACTTGATTTTGCAACCTACTAATGGGTTGTGATAAATACTGCTTGAAAACATAGTATTTATCTGGAGGACAGAGAGAATTCAAGATACAGAGAGTTCAAACAACATTATCCAATGAAAGACAGGTTATGGTTTTATGTCCTCTCAAAAGGACCTCACAGAGTAGCAGATGATAAATCTGAATGAATGAGACAGGCTCTTCTGAATGAATGCCAAGGAGCCACTCACCTGAGCCACGTGAGCCTCCTCAATCCTGGCATCGCGTGTTGTACAATATGATTTCAGAACACTGCAGAATCCAACTGGGCATAAGCACAGTACTCTTTAATCCCCCTCAGCTTTCTCGGGCTAACTTAACAGCCTGGCCAAGTGCTCCCAGAGCTGCGTGCTGCAGAATCAGGAGGCCAGCTCCCAGCTATCTCAGGGAGTCCTGTAACAGGACCACAGTTATAGGGCTTATCCTGAACCTACCACCCACCCATCTGTAGTTTTCTGATGGCCTCAGTTCTAGATCCAGATTTTTGTTATTATAACACCTTTTACATCCCCTCATGAGAAGAAATACACTAAGATCCCCCCATCCATGTGTTCTCATTGGTAGAATTAACCAATGAGAATAAAATTTAGAATAGCCAACATATTAGATTATATGTCACATAATATTTCATGTTTGATCACACATTTTTACTAGCCCATTACTTTTCCCCTTCTAACGGTAGAACTTGTAACTTTTTATAAGCCAATTTTTAGCAATTCAGGGTTAACTATAATTTTCCTTCCTTGTCTTTTGATTCTTGCCCACGACAATGGGCACCACATTAGCTGGTGACCAGAGTTCAAAGACTTTGTTGGATACCATCACTACCACTGCTATTATTCCATCAGGGTCTGCTGATATGAATTATAAGCCCACAGTTATACCATTCCAATTTTTAACAAAAATACTAAAATTATCATACTATGACTAAATGTCATTGCATCAATAATGGCTGTTTCCAAAATGGAGGTTGACCACGATCCACCAAAATAATCACATAGACATTCCAAATCCAGTTCTATAAAGCATGCAGCTTTAAACGCAGTTTGTTGGGGGGATCAATCTGATACCACAGCCATGGTATCAGATCCTTGACTCTTGGACTGTAGGCTGCAAACATCTGACTGAGAGATCATGCTGTACTCTAAACTGTTCTTTTGAGTCAAAGATCAAAGCAAGTAATCAGTCAGGGCAATGACAAGAAACAATTGGCACAAGCTAGATAATTCTATGAGTTCTAAAAAGGGTAGATTAGTATCAGGATGAGAAAGGAAAGGAAAGCCCCTCATTTTATTGGGGCTTTCCTTTACTATGCCATACATATACTGCTTTTTTCAAATTGAAACTTTGTAGCAATCCTGTGTTGAGTGAGTGTATCAGCACCATCTTTTTTTTCAACAAGCTCAGATGATGGTTAGCATTTTTTTAGCAATAGAGTATTTTTAATTAAGGAATATACATTTTTAGACATAATCCTATTGCACACAACAGACTGCAGTATGTGTAAGCATAAATTTTATGATTGGAAACAAACAAAAACTGTGTGTCCTGCTTTGTTGTTATTTGCTTTATTAAGATGGTTTGAACTAAACCTGCAGCATCTCCGAGTTATGCCCATATTTACAAGAGTGTAGGCAGAGTATAGAGGAACCCTAAACTGATAGAGCAGTTCTCCAGGGTACAATACCACCACACCAAGCAGAGAGTGGAGGGGCCTTCCTGACAGTAGTTGAGATTTTTTCCATTGGGTGACCTTAAAAAGAGTGAGCTGAGAGAATAGACCTCAAACCCCAGGTCAGCAGACTAATGAGGCATGTAGTCCAATATCTTCTGCCCCTTCATTATCCTGGCACTTTCTCCACAGGGACTTAGACATAATGGTCCAGGTCTTTGCATCATTCCTGATACTAATCTGCATGACAATTGTGCTGATAAACGTCAGTAGTACACTCAGAATGACATCAAGACCAGTTAACAATGGTAATCTGATGAGCAGTCACATGGACACAGCAGAGAGATCAGAAATAAAAAATGATAAATGGAGTGCAAGCTTCCAGGTCCCTAAAATCCTTAACTGGAAAATACTCAATGGCAAGTAATAAGCCTGCATAGTAAGCTTCACTCCACTACTTAAAACACTTCAATGGCTCCCTGGTCCATTTACAAGAAAATATAAAGTCCTTACATTATATTATACTAGAGGCCCAGTGTGTAAAATTCATGCTCGGGGGTGGGGTGGAGGGAGAGTGTCCCTCAGCCCAGCCTCACTCTCTCCAATCTGGGACCACTTGAGGAATGTCCGACCGCCCGTTTAGGCCCGATCCCTAGGGCAGTCGGACATCCTTCTCACAATCCAGGACTGCTGGCTCCCAACTGCCCTCCCCTACAGGTCTGCCCCCCCTCTCCCTGCAACTGCCTTCCCCTACTGGCCTGGTCCCTCCTAACTGCTCTCCCCTGTAGGCCTAGTCTCCTCTTCGCCAACTGCTCTCCCCTGCTGACCTGGTCTCCCCCAACTGCCCTCCTCTGCTGGCCCAGTCACCCCTAATTGCCCTCCCTATTGGCCTGATCACCCACAACTGTCCTCCACTGCAGCCCTGGTCCCCCCAACTGCTCTCCCCTGAAGGCCTGCCCACCTGTTCCGGCCCAGTCACCCCTGTTGTCTCCTGCAGGCCTGATCGCTCACAACTGCTCTCCCCTACAGGCCTCAGTCCCCCCCAACTGCCCTCCCTTGTTGGCCTGGTCACCCCCAACTGCCCTCCTCTGCTGGCCTGGTCACCCCTAACTTCCCACAACTGCCCTTCCCTGCAGGCCATCTTGTGGCAGCCATTTGTGTCCATATGGAGGTTGCCATCTTTGACCACATCGTGGCAGCCATCTTGTATCTTGGTGTGATGATCAATTTGCATATTACTCTTTTATTAGATAGTGTGCTGATAATTTCCTCTGCACATCCTACTGCATGTACCATGATTCAAGATAAATTTTACATCACATGATTTAAGGAATAGGCTTTGCTGGAGTAAGATAAAACTTACATCAACAGAAATGAAAGCATGGCTCCTTCCCATCCTCCAGCGATTACAGAGGACCAGGTCATTGCTGGGTTACTAGTGTATTTCTGTATGCGAATGGGGCCTCCCTCTTGCTCTCACTTCTTATACAGAAAGTGTGAAAGTAACTTTGTCAATAGGAGAATCAAGTCTGCTTCATTCTGGAAAATCTGGATTTGGGAAGCAATTATAGAAGTTCTCTGGGAGGGCCAGCTGCCCAGCACCTGGGGACCTTGGAGCCCATTGAATGTTATAGTTCCCACCTCTAGAAGGAGAAAGCCACCAATTCTGTGGGAACTGAGCTTATGTGAGCACCTTTTGTTGGGAGAAGTGGAAGAAATTCTCTTTTCCCAGCCTGTTGTCTAGACAATCTAGATTGAACTTTTAGGGTCATTTTTTGGACAACTTTCTTCATTGAAGTATAAATTTTCTACAATAATGATCTAATTTCCTTGTTTGTCTAGGACAGTCCTGGTATGTGCCTGCCACGCCAAATTATTAATAATGCCCCTTTTGGTGTTTTACCCACTGAATACTCAGGCCAAAGACTCAATCTTTGGATCATAGAACCTCAATCCTAAACAAAAATCTAATATGCAAATCGAATGAAAGTCAGAACAACTGGTGGAACCAACAGTTGCTATGACATGCACTGACCACCAGGGGGGCAGATGCTCAATGCAGGAGCTGACCACCAGGGGGGCAGATGCTCAATGCAGGAGCTGCCTCCAGCCTGCAGGCCCCAAGTTGTAGTTGGGGGGGGGGGGGGGGGGGGGAGAAGCAAGACTGGTGAGCAGGTAGCACCAGGCCAGCCAAGGCAGGTGCCAGTGGAGACCACCCAATCACCCTGCCAGTCGCCCTGCAGATTGGCCCTGATCACTGGCCAGGCCTAAGGTTACTACCCATGCACAAATTTCGTGCACCATATCTCTAATAAATATATATTGAATAAGTGAATTTTTCAGAAGTTCGATTTTTGTTTTTAGCTCAACTTTTATTTCAATTTTTTATTGTTAGTTTTCAGGAAACATAAGGGAAAAATAAGTGAACTGAAAGTTAGATCCAATGCCTTTGTCTGCCATTTATTCATCTAACATTTCTTGCGCATTTACTATGGGACAGGCACTATGCTGGGTACAGGAAATCATGGGCTAGTGAGGAAGATATTATATAAGAAAAAGATTACATAATGATGTCACCAATACAAAATACACAGGTTGCCCTAGCCATCTTGGCTCAGTGGTTAAGCACTGGCCTTTAGAATGAAGGGTCCTGAGTTTGATTCTGATCAAGGGCATGTACTTTGGTTGTAGGCTCAATCCCAGGTCCTGATCCGGGAGTGTGTGGGAGGCAACTGTGTGTGTCTCTCTCACATGGATGTTTCTTTCTCTCTCCCACCCTTCCACTCTCTCTAAAAATCAATGGGAAAATATCCTAGGGTGAGAATTAACAGGAAAAAAAAATAGTCATGTTGGCATAGAGAAGGGACCAAATTCTGCCGGAAATAGTCACAGGCTTGGAAGAAGAGATATTTGAGATAAGTCTTTAAAAATGAAAGGGAGTTCATCTGGCAAGCAAAGTAAAGAAAGGGAATTCCATGTACATAAATAGAAGAGATAAATGGGGTGATTTTTCTGCTAACGTCACACATTATCTGAGCTAGAAAATAACAAATACACATAGTGCTCAATTATATGCTATGTATAATTTTAAGATATCTAGAGTAAGTCACTTAATTTACAATGCATGAGGTGAGTTACATTATTTTTTTTAAGTATATATTTTATTGATTTTTACAGAGAGGGAGAGGGATAGACAGCTAGAAACATCGATGAGAGAGAAACATCAATCAGTTGCCTCCTGCACACCCCACACTGGGGATGTGCCCGCAACCAAGGTATATGCCCTTAGCCAGAATCAAACCTGGGACTCTTGAGTCCTCAGGCCAACACTCTATCCACTGAGCCAAACCGGTTAGGGCGGTAAGTAATATTACTGACCCCATTTTTAAGGGGAGGAAACTAAGACTTGGAGATTTTCACAGTAAGCAGCAGAGCAGGGATTCTTACTCAGGCACCTGGCTTCAGAATCCATTGCCTTCACTAAAGACCTTAGGGATCACCTATTGATGGCATCTCAATAAAAGGGAAGAAATGGGGCCTTGAGCAGTAACATCAAATCAAGGACAAGATCTTAGATCCCCTTTCTCTTCTATCACAGGGCTTCATCTGCTCTGGCTTGCTATAATCCCCATGAACTCTCAAATCATGGATGCAACTCAAACCAATAGGAGTTTAATGAGACCCTATATAATCCTCTGGGTCCCCTACCATGCCTTCAACGTTACTCATTTGTCTTTATAACACATTGTATCATGTAATGATCTGCTGCCATGGTAAATTGGAAAAACTCAAAAGATAGTATCCTGGGATACTGGCATCCTTGTCCTAGCAAGGCTGTGTGACATTAGGCAGACTTCTTGACCTTTCTGACCTTTAGGTTCAAAAATAAATGGAGGAGGAACCAGTCAATATAAATTAGTTGGTTAAGGGCTTGGGTTCTGGAGTCAGATCTGGATTTGGATCTGAGTGCCACTGCTCATTAGTTGTGTGACCTTGGGCAAGTTAATCTCTCTAAACCTCAATTTGCTCATCTGTAAAATAGGCATAATAATAGTACCTATTTTATACAGTTGTTACAGTGATTAAATAACACATGCCTATAAAATATATAATGCAAAAGTGTTCTCTAAATGTTAGCTACTATTATCATAAGCATTAACAGGGTCATTGCAAATCACCTGTACTTGGAACATTTTTAGACTTCTTATTTAATGTAGAATTTAAAATATATAAAACTACATATATGCAAGTTATAAAGCAGTCCATGGTGTTTTGTTATGGTGGGCTGAGCTAAGACACCAATGATGCAATAAAAACTGTCTTACTTAGGATCCAGTTATTTTGCAATGGGAGGCCTCCTCACTCTAGATTACCTAGTCTGCATTCTGCCAGGGGAAACATTAGGGCAATATTTCTTTTCTTAACCTAAGTGCTTCTTTATTTAATAGGGGCTATTAATCAAGGGCCCTCATTAGGAACTGCAAGCAAAACTAAACTACTTATTTGATGAAAAAAAAATGTGCTTCTATATTGTCCTCACTGTTTTGGCTCAGTGGATAGAGCATCAGCCTATGGACTGAAGGGGCCCAGGTTCGATTTCAGTCAAAGGCACATGCCTGAGTTGTGGGCTTGACCCCAGTGGGGAACTTGCAGAAGGCAGCCCATCAGTGATCTCTCATCATTGATGTTTCTCTCTTTCTCTCTGAAAACAATATATATATTAATGTGCTTATATTCACTCTTTTTAAGGCCAAGGCTAAAGTGTGCATTTTATGTCCAAGTTCCTTCCCCAAACTTAAAGTGAGACATCGGATAAAAGCCTGAAGTATTGTGGGAGCACAGGTAAGGTTATACTTCTACTTGTAGTGGAGCTCATCTGAGAGAAAATATAATAAAAAGTTGATCATGTATTTGGAAATAAAGGTAAAAATGTGTAAATTCATAAGGATTGGTTTTAACTACAACGCACAAAGAAGTGGCTTAAATAAGTTTTATTTGTGTCTCCCACAGGAGTCCAGAGGTAGACTGCCAGGACTGACGATGGCTCCATAGTCATCAAGGATCCCAGTTTCTTCTGTCTTCCATCCTGAAGATCGTCTCATGGTCCCAGATGGCTTTCATTTCAGACATGAAACAGCCATATATGAGGGTCTGGAGAAGCACAAAGTATGGGACTCCCACAGTCACCTCATTTAAGGAACTTGCCTGAAAGCACCACCAAATGATTTCTGCTTGTACCCCCTTAGTAACCTTTAACTGCAAAGATTAGAAATGCAGTATTTTAGCTGTGCTCACTGTCACCCCCAATAACACCTGGGTTCTGTGAATGCAGAAGGGGGAATGGATATTGATTGGGTAGTATATTAATCCAAGGCTATAGGAGGGACCACCCCTCCCAGATTTAGTTAATTCCTTGACATAGTAAATGACTTGCCCATGAGCATGCCTTTGTTATGCAAACCAAGCAATCCCCGAGTCCATACGCTCCAATAGCCTCTTTTTATCAGGCTTCTACAGTACAGCACACTACTCCTCTACCTGACATCACCCTAGGCCTGTACCTGACAACCAGGGACTGCCTACATAGCCCAGAGCCTGCTGGAAATTACTTCCCCAGTACAATCCTGAACTTGTTCAACTTGTCTATCCTATCTTATCCATCCTTTCCCCATGAAAAAACATAGTAAAAGCTCTGGCCCATACACCCTCCTTGCACCTTCTGTCTCCTGAGCTACCCTGGAGCTTCCCGCGTGGTCCTACATGGTTGGGTGTTGTTCCTCCTCTTGGGAACAGTACGTAAGAAACTTCTCTCTCAAAGGCAGGTGTCTCCATGTCTGTCATCCCAGCATATCCAATAAAGCAAATCCCAGGAGCCAGGCCAGCGTGGCTCAGTGGTTGAGCGCCTACCTATGAACCAGAAGGTCACGGTTTGATTCCCAGAGTACATGCCCAGGCTGCTGGTTCGATCCCTGGTGAGGGGCATGCAGGAGACAGCTGATCAATGGTTTTCTCTTATCATTAATGCTTCTCTCTCTCCCTCCTTCTCCCTTCCTCTCTGAAATCAATAAAAATATTTTAAAAAATAAAACAAATCCCAGGTATATTATAAAACAAGAAGGCAACTGCAAGTCTTTCCCACATTATAGTTTTGCATAACAGAAAGCTGGAATACAGGCAACATTTAAAAGTTATTTCACAAAATCTGTTTACAATGTATTCAAAAGAAGAAGAAAAAAGTTGCTTGTCTCAGCTTATCTTTTCATTAATCAGCACCCTGACAAATATAAGCTTAAACTCACATGTTCAAAACGAAACTCATTGCCCTGGCCTTTGTGGCTGAGTTGACTGGAGCATTGTCCTGTGCACAGAAAGGTTATGGTTTAATTCCCAGGCAGGGCACATGCCTATGCTGCAGGTTTGGTCCCTGATGATAAATGTCTCCCCTCCCCCTCCCCACCACCTCCCTTCTTCCCTCTCTCTATAATCACTAAAACATATCCTTAGGCGAGGATTAAAAACAGAACAAAACACTGAACTGTATACTCATTATCTTCCCTCTTTCTCAAATCTGCTCCCACATCCAAATTCCTTAGTCTCAGAAACAAAGTGCCATTACCCACACAGCTGTCCACACAGGCGCTTCAGAATTATCTATTGTCTTTTACCATCTGTTCTGTCACTAGATTCTGGGAGGGGATATATGCTCTTAGTATCCCAAACCCTGAGCCTAAAAGGAGCCTAATACGTAACCGGTACACAACAAATGGATCAATGTGAACCCCAAATGCTCTTCATATCACCTCTTACCTACCCTACCAAGCTTTCTAGGCTTGTTCAGTCCCTTTCTAACTGCCTCTAGACTTTCTCTCTCTAACTCTTCACCTGCCTTCATTGTTCATTTGATGAGATGTCCAGCTTAAAACCGTCTAGAGCTCCCACTGCCAAAGTCCTCTGCAAGCTTTCAAGGCCCTTTCTGATCTAGCCTGACCCACTTTCCATGGTTTTCTCTCTCACTGCTTCATACACTTTTAAATTTCTGGGCCTTTGTCCATCCTGATTCTTTTGTTAAACACTAACCAACCTATGCTCTTCTGAGCCCCACAGGATTTTATTTCTGCCATATTACACTTCGTTACACAGGCTCCCTGACAATCTTCATCAGCCTAAATCAGGAGCTCCTTCAATGCAGGACTCCTGTTATACATCCATACATCAGGCCTGCAGGGTGCATGGCATACAGCAAGTATCTAATTGACTTTTCAGTTTAAACAGATGCCCAAATTAATTGTAAAAAGCCATGAAAGAGTAAAAACAAATAAACAACAAAACATTTCGAAGAGGGATATGTGCTCAGTAATCCATGAATGTTGGTAACAACAACAACAACAAAAAAGGTCAAGCACAATACACTAAAGTTAACATGCTCTCATAAGTATCTATGGGATTTGATGTGATGGGCATGGTGGCTCAGTGATACGCCTTGTTTAAAATAACTACAGTAATAACAATAGCCCATATGTGTTGAGGACTTGATCCAGTCACTTAAGCTACATATATTATTTACTATGCTCTTACAGTAGACCTATAAAGTAAATATTACTATTGTCCCTTTTTATTTACAGAAAAACAAACCAACAAAAATCCAAGGCAAAGAAAGTTAAGAAACTCACCAGAGACTATTCAGCTAGTGAGGGAAGCAGGGATTCAAATCCAGGCTTTATGATAGACCACTTTTTCTCAAATGACAGGTGCAATAGAAAAACTTAAATGTAAAGATGTACTACTTTATGGACTAGCAAGACTCAGAGGTCAAAATACAGGAAACAGCAAAACAATGAAGAGGAAAGAGACAAAAAGAGAAATTTCATTACTGTGGCTGCATGATTCTGACAGCCGAGAAAACCACCCACAGTCCTAATACAGACTGTATGACTGACACAGAGGCAAATACAGCAGTAAGAGAGAGCTCAATATTGTCAATACCTGCCAACTCTCATTCTCCAGTGAGCCTGACGAATTCTATCATAGAACCATCTTCCTAACAATTTCATCTCTCCATAGGAAGGAAACAATGAGGGGCAGACATAATGAACTTATTTTAACCAGTAAAGACACTGCTTGATTAAAAGAGGAATGTGTAAAGATAACCTGGTAGAGAAATTAGCTGAGACTTATTTTCCTGCAGGCTATCAGACTGAAAATCAGACAGAGTAAAGAGACAGAGGTATTTCTCCCTCACGTTTGATTCTCCCATGACCAATTATGTATTAAACTCCCTGTGACATGCATATGCTCCCTGCATGGGGTGCTAGTCAAAAATTAGTGTCAGAAACCAATCATTGTCTCACTAATTAGAAGTGTGTGGGCAAGGGACCCGGAAAGGCTGGTCAACCTTGAAGCTCTGAAAGGTCAGAGCCAACCACTCCCTATCTAATTGAGACAATGGTAGCTGAAGCAACTTCCCCATCAAATAATCATGTAAATCCTTTTAAGCTACAAGATTTCAATATGCTACTCAATCTCTGCTTATGGTTTCCTCTTCCCAGGTAAAATGAAGCTAATACTACCTTCTTCCTAAGTCCAAGTTAAATGAGTCAGTAATAAAAGCACTTAGCCTGGCGGGCAGTAAACACACAATGAACGTCAGCCATTCGTATGATTACTGTAAGAGATTTCTCTACAATTCATTGCCTGTAATCTTCTCGCACTTTAAATTTGTTTGCTGTTGCTCCTACCCATATGCACGGCGCACAATGCAAACCTCAACAAATAGCTCAGTAAAGTGATCCTGCCCTCATTTTCATGTCGGTGTTCCAGTGAACTCCAACTCACCGACTAACATTCGTAACGCCCTAAAATGTCAGTGTGCCAGGCTGAGCTGGACGGAGGCAAAGGGTAGTTTGAATCAATGGCAAACCAGCCTTAAGAACTACATGGCCCAGCCTGTGTGGCTCAGTGGCTAAGCATCGAGCTATGAATCAAAAGGTCATGGTTTGATTTCCAGTCAGGGCACATCCTCAAGTAGTGGGCTCAGTCCCCAATAGTGGTCGTGCAGGAGGCAGCTGATCAATGATTTTCTCTCATCATTAATGTTTCCATCTCTCTCTCCCTCTCCCTTCCTCTCTGAAATCAATAAAAATATATTTAAGAAAAAAAGAAAAAAATTGAATGTTCTTTAGGGAACAAAGAGAAACTATTACTAATTTCTCCTGAGCTACAAAGGTTAGGCTGCAACCCGGTTGGCAATGACGAGGAATTGTCAAAACAGCCATAGAAATATGTTCTTCGTATTTTTGGACATCTCTAGATTGTCTGGTGGTATTTAATAAATGGATGTTGGCTGAAACTGTATAGGCAGTAAACAGTGTGTCTCATGTGGGTTGGTCTTTAAAGTTGGTTGCTCTGGGTTGTGTACACATATTAAGAGAAAAATGAAAGAAAAAGAGGAAGAAAAAAGAATAAAAGAGGTGAGTGTCTAAGCATGAGATGCCAAGATGCAGATGATGGGGGAAAAAACATGAACGTTTGATTACCTTTCACCTCCAGTACATGAAGTGGAGTTTAGCAAGCCTGCTTTGGAAATAATGGAAAGGTGTTTTTCCTCCCCAAAGGAAAACAGCTTTATTTTTTCTTATTATAAAAGTAATAAACTTTCAATGCTAAAAAGTAAAATTAGGATATATACAAGTTTAAAGAAATAAGGAAAAATCACACAAAATCTCCCTATCCAGAGATTGTAACATTTAATGTTGCTTCCTCTAGACTTTTCTAAGCATATAATTATATTAATTGCAACTTTTTTTTGAAACTGGGATAACACTACACATGCTGTTTGATACTTTTTCTCCCACTGTTCTATGTATAATACTCCTCTTTCCACTTAACATGGAATCTCAAAATCAGTCACAGGGCAGATTTCGGCAGGTATATCCGACACTATACCTGAAGAAAGGGAAATGGGGGACACACTTGGACCAGATGATCCCCACATTCTCGATTGCTATTGGGTTCCACACATCTCCTCTATGCCTAGACCATGTTGGGAGCATCAGACAGGGCTGCCTCGGTGGGAGGGCAGAGCTGGTGCTCCCACAGCCTGTCTGATGTGAAGTGCCGGGTGTGCAGCACAAGCACATCTGTGGCCTCCGCATTGAACACCTGACTGCAGGCTCTGCCACCCAGCCTCAGAGCCTTTCAGGAAGTCTGCAGGTGGAGTTTGGAGAAGAGGCCCTCAGCTTATGAGGATCCTGTAGAACACAATTTCTGCCCCCGAGCTCTGGGCTGAGAATTCCTTTCAGGTGGTCATTAAGAGTCCATACGCAGTGTGTGATTTCTGAACCTGTTCAAGTCAAGCACGTCCTAAGCTGTAGTGAGCAGCATGCTCTCAGGCAGAGGGGAGAGGACGTGTGCCCCAGGGCACATATACATAGGCTAGGCCTGACCCAGATGGAATGAACAACTTCCATAGCAGCCAACCTCTAAAACCCGGCAGCAAACCAGAAGCAAGCCTGTGGAGGACTGATGCAAACTTTAAGTAAAAGATGCACTGAAAAGCTGTGTTCATTTCATGTGATCCTTGTTAGTAAATTACTAGTACTTTGTAATTTCCAGAACCTTATAATAAAAGCACACAATTTTCTGCATGTGCACAAGTTTCTCTAAGTATATGTGCATCCAGACCATGTGGAAAAAGAAAAGGAAAATGTCATACTGAGGCTCTAACCTAGGGAGGCAAGGTCAAAGGTTGGTCAGGGGTCTTCCCTGAGAGTTCTGGATGAAAATAAAAGAGAATCGGAACCAGAGCCCTGTATCATCCCCTGGAGATGAACTGCTTCACCCCTAGCTATATTTCAGGTCTTTACTGCTAGGTAACTTCACTTCATAAATGCTACTATTGAAACTGTCCACAAACAAAAGATTTGAAGAAGGCGGTTAGATACCAACCTGCTCAGCAACTCCTTTCACTTTGGGCTAAAGCTGAATATCCCACTGGGATATGCATCTGTCAAGACTTATCCACTGTCTGTTCTATGCCAAGCTCTGGTTAAAGTGCAGGTACACAGAGCAAACAGGTAAGAAAATCAATATTTACAGCAAGGAGATAGATGCCTAACATATAGTGATGTTCCATAAATACTGAATCAATACTATAACAGAAATGCGCACAAAAACCAAGATGTCTTCCCAAAGGACATTATTCCTTTGCTGTTGCACAGATGAACCTGACAGTTCACTGTTCTGTACTCTTGTACATAGAAACTGCCCCTAAAAGAATAAACAATTAGTGAATGTTGCATTACACAGAAACAACCAAGGTTGATGGTGAAAGGGGGGTGGAGAGCAACAGTCAGGAGAAAGGAGAAATATTATCATTTTATATAAAAGAATATTTTAATTTTTGTCCTTAGAAACTATAAAGACTATACATGATTTGAAAATGAGACTATACCAAACATTGGCCAAAGAAGAATGGTCCGCTCTATGCCTTCTCTTTTGGCTGGTCACTCAGAAATATAATGTTATCTGTAAAGAAGCCAGAGTATAAGTATTATTTTCAGAACACTTTTCCCATCCCATTTAATCATTCCCCTCTATTACATACATACTTCAGTGCTATTGCCTAAAAAGATTTTATGCCAATTCTCAAAATACTGAGCAACTATTGCTGTTCACTAGAGGTATATACAATACAATTGGCAAGATAGAGCTCAAAGCTGGGCTTCAGCTGTCAACAATTCAGACTTTGTTAAAACAGGTGGCATATTTCTTGTCTTTCCTGAACAATTAAGGTCTTCTCAGCAATGACTCTCTACCAAGCTACAAATCACAGATTTCAAAGCTTTCAATGCTCAGACAGGTGCCATGAAACAGGTAGCACATCCTCACGTAGAAGAGGACCAGGCAGAACACTCCGCATGCTGGAGGTGGGGGGGACAGACAGTGGCCTTGTTGGCAAGGATTGATTTATTTATGTTTTAAAAAGAAGTTTGAACATTCACATGGGAGACATTTTATTTTTAAATAATAAAACAAAATGACTTTTTATATACTCATTCTTTGGAAAAGATTTACTAATCAATGAGAGCATTTTTATCTAAGAACATCAGACATTACTCTTAAAATGCTGTTCCAGACATAGTTTAGGGGAGTGGTTAGCAAACTCATTAGTCAACAGAACCAAATATCAACAGTTCAACAACTGAAATTTCTTTTGAGAGCCAACTTTTTTAAACTTAAACTTCTAACTCCTCTTCTTCAAAATAGAATCGCCCAGGCCATGGTATTTTGTGGAAGAGCCACACTCAAGGGGCCAAAGAGCTGCATGTGGCTCACGAGCCACAGTTTGACGACCATGGATTTAGAACATGCAAAGGAAAAGAATTAAGTAGTATTTCCTGTATAACTCCAAAAGACCTAAATTCTTTTACATTTGGAATTATTTAAAAATGGTTATTATCTAATGAATGAATATTTATTGATTATCTAATCTTCAAAAAAATGGAATATTTTGGTGCAGAATGGTTATTTCAGAAGAGATTGTTAGAATTGCATCACTGTGTAAAGACAAGAGTGCCATCTGCTGGTGGTTAGTTTTAAGTCACAGACATGATCTCTAAGAGGAAAAAACATGGCCTGTAAGAGTTCAATCAAATTAAACTCTACTCCCTTCAATTCAAATGTCACTAAAGACCTATTCATTTATGATCTAGAAAACTATATGAATACTGGTGACAAGAAAAACACAAAAAGGCAGATAATCTGAAATGCATCCATTTGCTAAGTTCCTAACAATTTACACAATCAAAATTAACCCACACATTGGTTTATAGTAAAATATGAAAGTGTTAAATGCTTCATAAATAGTTAAGAGAATTAGAAATTGTCAATTATTATTTTGTTAGAAAGCTTGCTTTCCCACTACTGAAATTATAGGTGTAGATCTATATACCATACGGAGATCTGGAAAAAAGATGTGAACAGTTGGATATTGCCAAAGAAAGAACAGGACATGGAGAAAATGATTTACTCTCAAGACACTCAAGAATTATAAAAACAAAATGGTCAGGAAGGACCTTGTCTAAGGTCTGATAATGAAGGCAGAAAAATACCTATGTTGGTTTTTAAGGTCAATATACTTTCAAAAAAAAAAAAAAACAACAGTAGGAAAATACATATTGTAATTATTTACAACAAATTATAATCTATCAATAAGGTATAGTGGTTAAGACATGAACTTTGGAGCAAAGAAGAGAAACATTAAAAAAAAAAAAAAAAAAAAAAGTGCTGAAGGATCCCAGGTTTGATTCTGGTCAAGGGCATGTACCTCAGCTGCAGGCTCAATCCCTGGCCCTTGTCAGGTGTGTGTGGAAGGTAACCAATCAATGTGTTTTTCTCACATTGATGTGTTTTGTTTTTTTTCTCTCTCTCTCTTCCTATCCCTTCCACTCTCTCTGGAAAAAAAAAAAAAAAAAAAAAAATCAATAGAAATATATCCTCTAGTGAGGATTAATAAAAGAGACTTAAGTTCTCAGATGTCCAATCTTCAGAACTGTAAGAAAATAAATTTGTTGTTTTTTTTAAAAAATGAGACAAGATAATGTAAGATAATGTTTGGACTTATTGAGCAATCAAGGAACTATGAACACTGTGATAACTGGTAAGAAAAAAAAAATTAAAAATGATTTCTTAACTGCACTGTAGCTGTGTTTTAAAATGGAGCCATATCTTTCAGAAATGCCTACTGAAATATTTATGGATGAAATAATATAACATCTGAAATTCATATCAAAATAGCCCAGGTGGAGGAAAAGTGGCTGGGAGTGTAGATGAAGTAGTATCAGCTCTCAAGTTGACAATTGTTGAAGCTAAATGATTATTGTCTTTAAAAAAAATTTCTCTCCACTTTTGTATGTGTGACATTTTCCATAATGAAAAATTTAATTTTTAAATAATTTTGGCATGATTCAGAAGATCCTAAACATTGAGACATTATTACTACAATAAAATGTCTTTCATTTCCATCTACTTAACTATAAAAACAAGATTTCTCTGTGTTTATATCCATAAAAATGAAAAGAACAGAATTAGTTCTTAACTACTATCTTATTTTACCACTTTCTCCAAGATTTGGGGGCAGGGGGGAGAGAGATAAAGAGGGGGAAAAGTCCTACCTATCTCATTATAAGGTGCATTTCCAATAAAATTTTAGTTTTTACATTTAAATATTAAAGTTGTTTTAGTCAATTACGTACTAAAAACAACTATAATGATAAAACAATGAAGAAGAAATGTAACATTGAGCATCTTACTGTCAGAATTTAAAAAAATATTTTAAAATTTCTATTTATGTACCGGTATGTATTTTTCTTACAAATATAACTGGATGAATAATAAGATTCTTAACTACACAATCTATTCAGATATGCTTCGAAGGAGAAAATGGGATGGGAAAACAAGTTCAGAGAAAAAGGAATACAGTCATGTGCCACTTGATGACGAGTATAGGTTCTGAGGTTTGGTTTGGTAGGCAGTTCCATTGTTGTGCAAATATTGTAGAGTTCCTTACACAAACCTAGACAGTATAGCCAACAACACATCTAGGCTGTATGATATAGTCTAATGCTCCTAAGCTACAAGCCAGTACAGCCTATTACTGTACAAAAACACACAAGATTAAGTCAAGCACAAGAAAAAATGATGCAATCAAGAGCTGCTGAGTGTAACACCCATTCTGTTTATAACAAAGTTTGTTTTAAGTAGACGGAGTACTATCTAAAATAATGATAAAAAGTAAATACATAAACCAGTAAGTCATTTATTATCATCAAGCATTATTTATTGTACATAACTGTATATGCTGTACTTTTATATGACTGGCAGGATAGGTTTGTTTTGGCACCAGCATCTCAAAAACTCGTGAGTAATGCACTGTGCTTGACATTACAATGGCTATGATGTCACTAGGCGATAGGAAATTTTCAGCTCCATTTTATTACTAGAGGCTTGGTGCATGACAATTGTGCAAGGGGGGTTGAGGGGGTACCCTAAACCTGGCCTGCACCCTCTCACAGTCCGCGGCTCATCGGGGGATGTCCGCCGCCTGCCAAGTGGTCCTTAGTGCTGCCACGGAGGCAGGAATGGCTCCCACCACCGCTGCTGCACAGACCACGAGCCTGGTTTCTGGCTGAGTGGTTACTCTCCCTGTAGGAGCGCACTCCTGCATTGAGCGTCTGCCCCTAGTAGTCAGTGTGCATCATAGAGACTGGTCATTCCACTAATCAGTTGATTTGCATATTAGGGTTTTATTATATAGGACTTGAGGCCTGGTGCACGGGTCCCTCAGCCTAGCCTGCAGGGATCGGGACGAAACTGGCTCTCTAACATCCTCCAAGGGGTCCTGGATTGAAGAGGGTGGTTCTCGAGTGACACATCTGGAATTGGGCTCCCCCTCTCTGATCCCGGGTGTGTCACCGGAGAACCACAGCTGCCAAGTCACCACAGCTAGGCAGCTCCTGTGCTCACATCTACCCTCTGGTGGTCAGTGTGCATCATAGCTACTGGCCAGAGCATCTGCCCCTTGGTGGTCATTGCATGTCATAGCTATTAATCCAACTGTTGACAGTCACTTAAGACTTTTATATATCGATATATAGATAATAGCGCTGCTGTGTATGTGGTCCTTTGTTGACCCAAACGTCATTATGCGATACATGACTGTACCATAAAATTTCCAAATGTGGAAGAGCTTGTTCATAGATTTTTTAAAATGATGATTTATATCAAATTGCTATATTTAGATCAATTAATACATTGAAGAATAACAATGTTATATTGGAAAAAAATGTTAATGTCAATCTAAAGATGTCCAAAGGGATATAGTTTCAAAATTTTTGTAGAATTTTCAGAAAAGTTTGAAAACTGCTCTAGGGGATAGCTTCTTAACCTTCTTTAAACTCTGTGTGTCCATCTTTTCTAAGTTATTTTAACAAGGATAGGAATTTCAACAAGGAGAGTAACAAAAGCATCATGTTAAGTACCAAAGAGGTTCTGAATAAATCTGCACAAATGTTTAATACCACTCAATTAATGTAACTCTATCTTGCCACATGCTTCTCCCTGTTTAGGCCATATCCTTCAAGGACTCTAGATCCTAACTCCAACAATAAGAACTGGGATAGATAATTCCATTTATACTCTACTCAACATTACTTGTAAACTAAGACTGTTTGAGTATAGAGATAGTTTTCTAAAGATTAGGTAAGTGTAGAAACTCATAGCAAGCCTACAAAGCGCACTTAGCATTCTTCTAGTGAGCTGCCTTACAATCTCATTAGCATCAGTATCTCAGCCCCAGTTAAAGTTACTTATAACACAACCAAGTTTTTAAAGAAGGGCGGGAGTAGAAAAGAACCGCTGTTATCATAAGCTTACCAGCTATGATTGTTGTTGCTTGTCGCCTCACATTATTTTTATCCATATATTCACCATAATCTACTTTCCCTTCCACATAAATTCGAGACCTGAAATAAATAAAATTTACAGTTTTTAGTCTGGAGATTCTAATATGCTTTACAAGGGAGATTCAGATTGGGGCAGTAATGAGAATACACTAAGGATGAAATATATAATCATACATAACCTCATTTTTGCTACTACTTCATAAAGTTCAAAATTAAGTGTACTGAAACAGAATGTACACACATTCTCATCTCAGTAAAAAAGGACAATGTTTTCATCCTTAAGCTGACTGTGGTCCATAAGGAACTTTAAAAAAATTTGTTCAAAATCTTAAACTAATTTTTTTTTTTAAAAGTTCTAAGGCAAAGATAGTGAAAATGAAAGGGTAATCTAGTGACAGCCTTTAAATATCTAGGATTGATTTCCAATGTGTCATTTTCCTTGACCTTTGATTTTGGACTCCCTAATAGATTTGATTTCCCCTTATTTCTCAATTCCTAAAATTTTCCTCAAGAGACTTAGATAATCAGAATTCTAAATAGAGGTTTTCAGCTTAGTATTTCACTCAGAGTAATTACTAGGACTATTTCTGTACTATCTAAAAGGCTGAGCTAGAAGACACACCAGGTGAAATTGCATAGACATTTCCCTAGAAATTTCCTACATCTGTTTATATGCATATAGGCACATATTCAGACATGCATACATGTGATGAGGTACATAAGAAGGTATGCAGTTATGGGGGGAAAATTGAAATTGTAGTCGCTGCTGAAATTACTTTTTATGAAATTAATTAACTGAATACAACTGCTGTAAAATACACCCTTTTGTCTTGTGGATTTGGAAAAAGCACTTTTTATTCATAATCAATACAAGCATTTCAAAAGGGACCTATGAAGCCTATATAAAAGTCAAATATAAAAAGCTGATGTGAATAGGACCATAATGCCTCAGTGTGACAGACTTCACACATCCCAGATCCTCTGCTAAGGCCATCATGCGGAGGACAAGACACATGACCTGGCCGTCAGGAACTCCTTCAAGGTATGTTGCAGCCTGGGAACTCCTTCAAGGTGTGTTGCCTTGTTCACAGGGAACTTGGTATGTTTTGCCTTCCCTCTGGCCTCATCTGCTTCTACTTATATTCACGTTCTATTTTCCCTAAACTTTAAGTTCTTAGAATGCTAAACCAGCTTTTATACACCTTTTCACACAGAGCAACACATGCATGCACTATTAAGCACTGAATAAATATCTACTGAGTTCATATAAATTAATAGTACTCAGGAACAAAGTAGTTACACAATTCATGAGAACACTTTTGTCAGTTTTTAAACCATTCAAACAGTAAGATTCTTCCTGCTCCCACTTACCCCTTTTTCACATACTGATATGCCACATCTCTGAGGCCTGGGCGGAATACTGAAATCCTGTGCCATGTTGTCTTTTGACTGACGTCACCTAAATCACAAGAATAGGAAACACGGTGACAAATGCCAGCCGACAAAATAAATGCCAAAGAACAACATGCCTAGCAAAACCAACATCAGAGTGTCAAAGAGAACAAAACAAAGTCAGAGAAGAACGATCTTTTCTCAAAATAACTTATCTCTAGTTAATTAAAACTAAACAATGTCTCTTTATTGCTGATAAAATTATCACCCATCTTTTATACTCACCCATTTGGTATGCTTCATTGTCTCCTGATTTCCACATCTCATTTGTTGCCAGAGAAAATATTGTGACTGGGTTTTTTCCTTCCACTTGTCTCATGACAGGATCCTGACCAACTCGCCCCAATAACTGCACACGATTCAGAGCTGAAATGCAATGTATAGATAAAATACGGTTGAGGGAAGTGTCCTGAAGAGGGAAATCAACTGAAGTAACAAATAAGAAGCTGGGAGGAAAAACAAGTTGGCAAGAAAGGCGAAACTATTCTTAGAGTAGCCCACAGGACAAATATTAAGCTCTTTATCTTAAATTCTTCTTTAAAATACCTTAAAAAAAAACCAAAAAAAAAAAACCGTATCACTAAAATAACACCTGAGATCTGAAAATCTATATAAATACAAGAAAATATTTCTGTCAAACAATAGGTTTCGTAAACTTTCAGTCTCTCAGACAAAAAGCACATACCGCTGGGTAACTTAGATAGCCAACTATGACTCAAGGAAATTATATGGGAGAACAGTGACAAGAGGGAGTGAGTTCTGACTGATAAAGAAGAAGGGCCCAATTTATTCAAGGCCCTGCAGCCTGATGTAGTAAGGCCAAGACCCAAGAGGCACATGTGAGCCAAAGGCATGGTGACGAACAGATTATAAAACACCAGCGCGCCCCTGCAACACATCTAAGAGAACATTGCTATGAATATACTTTACACTTGGAAATTAGCTACTACTTACATCTTTCCAGAACCAAGCTGCTTGCTACTTCAGACTCATGTCTTACAAATTTATGAAACACCTAAGGCAGAACAAATGGATAAAATGGCTGTAAGTTTTAGGAAATTTCAGGGAAAAGCAAATGCAAACAGAAGACCTACTCACATATGGTCACCATCTAGTCAGGTTACATCCACGGAAAACCAGAGATGTGCTTCCATGTTTTCCATCACACGGTGCCAGAAGGACCAAGCAACACTTAAGGGCAGCCTACTACAGAGCCCAAAGGTACCAAGGAGGCTCTAGAGAGCATGCCCAAGAAAGTTACTTTATGGCCCTCTCCTGTTTCTTTTGTGATAACCCTCCTGCTTATGATGCTTCTGTGGCTGCACACAAATGGTAAAATCCAACATATGCTGGAAAAACTCATGCTTTCAATAGGCCAAGAAAAAGGTCTAAGATGAACAGATTCGGTTCCCTGTTCACCTTGCTTTCTCCCCCTTCCATGTAATCTTCCCTAAATTTCCTTCCTAATCTCAATAGCATCATGAAAGAAGCTGCAAAACTGTTATTCTCCAGAGCGTCCTAGTACTTGTTCACAGGCATGCATTTTGGCTTAAACAAACTCTCTTAAAATTTCAAATAAAAAGGTAGGTGGTCAGAAATCACATGTGTTATAGAAAAACGCTGGGTCAAACCCCACAGTTTGACCCGGTGGACAGAGAGTTAGCTTTTAGACTAGAGTCCCAGGTTCAATTCTGGTCAAGGGCATGTACCTTGGTTGCAGGCACATCCCCAGTTGGGGGTGTACAGGAGGCAGCTGATCAATGTTTCTCTCTCATCGATGTTTCTAACTGTCTATTCCTCTCCCTTCCTCTCTGCAAAAAAGCAAAACAAAAAAAACAACAACCAAAAACTCTTATGTTTTTGAAAAAATGCTGGGACAATGATTCTCAGTCTTTGCATCAATAAAGACTTTAACTGCTGTCGAACTGAACTAAATGTAAGTAACATGTTTTAGTAAGTAATGACTCCCCATTTTATATATATATATATATATATATATATATATATATATATATATATATATAAAACTAGAAAATATTTTTGTTTTAGTGAACATTATTTACACAGGTAAAATCTTCTCCAAACCTCCATATCAAATAAGTACACATAAAGTGGGTGGGCTCAAAGCTCTTTTGCCTCTGAAGTCAAAACCCTGAAGAAATCTAATCAGCACAATTATGGAAAAGTGATTGATTACCTGCAACACAGGTCTTCGAAACATTGCTTCTACTTTTCCTACAATCTAATCTTTAGTCCTTTCCTGAAGGGGGGAAAAAAAGGGGGGGGGGGTAAATTAATATGACATCATATAGCAAGAGCACAAATTCACTAATCCTAAGTTTCTAACTTACATTCCTGATATTTATGCAATCCATCTTATGAACATAACACATCAACATTCCTGCACATTTGACGAGTCCCCCCCCCACCAAAGGAAACCTTATACTTGTATCTTTTTGAACTCCTTTAACTTCCTCCTCCTCCTCCTCCAACCCATACAAAGAAATTCCTATTCTGAGTTATTCTCATTTCCACGCTATTGTCTTCTAAATGTTTATTTAAATGCAAGCTCCCGGAGGGTAGGGATTTTTGTCGGATTTACTCACTGTCAAATCCAACCTACCTAAAACAGTTCCTAACACATGGGGGGCTCAATAAATATTACATTGTCATCAGGGACTTAAATCTGAAACTTGTTGCTGCAAAAATTGCCTCCATCCCTGTTAGTAAAGACTAAGGGGGAGTCCTGGGCTCCCGGCCTCATCGCCAGGATGGGCAGGTAGGTGCCCTTTCTAAAGTGACGGCTCCCAAACAACGAAGGAAAGGGGGGAGGAAACGCCAAGTCCTCCCCGCGCGTGGAAAGAGAAGGGACAGACCGCGACAGCACAGCACCACCTCCCGACCGACCGACGCAGGGCTGCACGAACACCCAACACAGAGCTCACGCTCCTTCCCGCGCTCACCGGCGCTCGAGCCGCACAGCTCCGAGCTCGGAGGACACTTCCCGACGCGGCTCTGACGCAAGGCTCGCGAGAGGAAGAAGTAACCGGAAAGGCCGTGGCGTGCCTGCTGGAAATGCCGCCGGCCGCCGCCGCGGGAAACACGCCCCATAACGCGTTAGTTCCGGGAGCTTTTTTTCTGAGTCAACACCGCCAAGTGGTGAGTGGCGCTGATTTCAAATTTATAATGAAACGAAATTATTTGAGGAGGTTCCCAACCCGGTCCAGAAGGGGGCGAGGTAGGCGACACAAAAGATAGCTCCTCCTCTGGAAAACACTAGAAAGGTCCAGACCTCCTAATGCAGAAAACAAAACAAAACAAAACAAAACAAAAACAAAAAAAGGAGTGGGAATAGGGCTTCGAGCGCAAAATAAGGTGACATAAAAAATTGGCAGTCCAGATAAATATTTTAACTCAATGTTTTAAAAAGTCCAAATCAATGGAAAAAAAAATCCGTGCTGAGCAAAAAATTAAAATTTTAAATACAAGGTACAAATATTCTGAGGCGCGAGGAAAAATATGTGCTCCTATATGTTATGTATTTAAAAAACATTTTTTTTCAGAACACTAGGTTACTTGACGAAATATTGAATATTTGAAAAGTAGGTGTATTAAAACACAATATTGTCTTAGGTTTAAATATTTTATTTATACTGAAAACTAATATTGAATATTTGAAAGGTAGGTGTATTAAAACTTACAATATTGTTTTAGGTTTAAATATTTTATTTATACCAAAAACTATTATAATTTTATTTTCCTGGCTTTAATGGACATAAAATGGTCAATATTTTCAATATCTACTTCTTATTTCCAGTTGCAAGAATTGCCATGTCTGACATTTTTTTACAAGTGACAATATTTTATAATAAGTTTTATTAACTTCAGCTTACAGGTCTTGTCTTTATTTAAAATTCTGGTATTTTGTTAACTGGATATTTTTATTAATTTTAATGTTTTTAAAATATTGCATTAAAATATCACTAATCTTAAAAGTGGGTTTTTTGACACCCCTTAAATTTTGCCTCATACACCCTAATCTTGGCCCTGATAATGAAGAGGGGTATGGAACCCCACAGATTGCAGAATTCAGGCCAGAAAGGGTCTCCCCCTTATCCTGACCCTGGCACTGCTCAACTTCTAGAAAAGGAAGGTACCCTCCACATCGTTCTAACACGCAGATTTCCTCAGGACTTAACTTAAAACCTTTCAATGCCTATTCTTGCCCTTGAAGGAAAAAATATGGTTTCCAAGACACATGTTAACCCACTCTAAAAATAGATTTACTAATTGTCATTGTAAATGTAGTCCAACCAAACGTGGAGAATTTTTAAAAGTTTGAGCCAAACTGTCGACATATGCCAGAGAGCAAGATCTCCAATGCTCCATAGAATGGAAGTTTTGCAGCTTATTTTATATATTAGAATCAAAGGAGAAGACTTAAGATGCATGAAATTCACTGATGGTAGGTTAAGGAGCTGGAAGAAAGCAGGGGGTGGCAGGAAACCTCTAGGATTCCATAAAAGGAAAAATAGAGAAACACATAGGGTGTCCCCCAAAACTGTATGCACACTCAATCGATGGAAAAAACAAACAAAAAAACTGTGCTGAGCAAATTCTGAATGATTATAAAGACAGTGTTTATTAAAATACACTTCATTTTCAAAATTGAGCATCAGCTGTTGAAGTGGGTATACACTTTTTTGGGGACACCCTGTACTACTTTTACATTGGTGGGTAAATGTTGGGAGCCAGCAGAGTTGAGACAAGCAACTCAGTCTTAAGAAAATAGAATTAAGTTCCTTCTAGCAGAAGTTATGCGGTGCCCTGAGGGTTTGGCCAGAAGATAAGATTAACCTGCAGCTTAGCATCTTCCTGCCGCTTAGCAACTTCCCCTTCCTGATCTCCCCCCCCCCCCCCTAGATAGTCCAGCCTTGGAATGTTGTACCTTGGAATGTTACACCGCCCTGGCAGTTAGCCAATCCTGTGTTGCCAGATGCCAAAGACCCCTCTGCATAGGCAACCCTGCCCCCCTTTGTTTCTGCTGTATAAATACAGCCATTTCAAAGAATAAAGTTGAGGCTTGATCAGAACCTTGTCTTGCCTCCATTCTTTCGCGTTCCTTGTTTGCTTCATTCTCTTAGGTGATTCCTGCGTGCCCCCGTTGTTGCCTCGTGGGTCGGGGCAGGTAAAGTATAGATAGTAACATTTATAGCACATAGAGATGGTATTGGGAGACAAGATAACAAGTGGTTCTGTGACCTCACACTTTGATGGTCTTGTGCTCTGGTGCTGAGATAGTGTCTTCCAGGCACAGGAAAAGGAAATTACTCTGTCATTTCAAAGGTACTGGAACCGGACAACCAAGGGGTCTGGGCTGTCTGTCACTACTTTAGCCAATTAAGCAGAGACAGGGTTGAAACATACGTGAGCATTTATTCCAATAATGTCGGCAGTATAGGAGAGACTTCAGTCACCCACAAAAATCTGCTCTGACCCCCTTGCCAGTTGGCTGGTTATATACAAGGGAGAAGATAGCTACATGCAGCTTTGAGCTACAAGTGTAACAGAGAAAGGGGAGGAGAGAGTCTTCAGTCTGGCCTTCAGGAGCTCAAAGTCTGCTAACAAGATGGCTAATCTTCCATGATGTTACAAACAGCTCAGCCCCTTCCTGGGACCAGAGAATGGTCAGTGTTCCTGAGAAAAACTCCCGGAGGTGGTCAGGGTCCAGGTGCAACAACCAAACCTAAGCGTGTCCTGTCCTTGGTCTGTTCTCAAAATGTGTTTCTTACTTGAGTAATGGACCCGTTTTGGCTCCAAGGTGTCTCATCTTTTACAGGCCTGTTTCATCCTCCAGTTTCCAGGCTCTGTAAGAACTATCATTAGTGAGGTGAATAATTATTAGACAGCTGTGGTTCTATTCCTATTACATCTCCTTACCCCCTAATGTTACTAGTATGTTATCCTAGAAGCATAAGCAGAATGGGCAGAGCTCACTTAAATATTGACCTCTGCCAAAGACCTGGGACACCCAGTTAGGAATTTGTGATCAGACAATCCTGTGGGGTTACTTTTGGCAACTGAGTTTGCCAGGCCTATCATGTGCCACCCCTACCACCACCACAACCACCAACCCCTCCCCCACTCCACACCCAAGCTTGTCAAGTTTATTGCACAACCTCTTTTTTTTTTAAGTTTTTTTTAAAAAAATATATTTTATTGATTTTGTACAGAGAGGAAGGGAGAGAGTTAGAAACATCAATGAGAGAGAGTCATCGATCAGCTGCCTCTTGCACACCCCCTACTGGTGATATGCCCACAATCAAAGTACATGCCCCTGACCAGAATCGAACCCGGGTCCCTTCAAGCTGACGCTCTATCCATTGAGCTAAACCGGTTTCGGCCACAACCTCTTTTCATTCACAGTATTTTTCTAGATGTTTAACTCAAGTTTTACTTCCACCTTCACAATTTAGTTTTTGAAATGCCATTGTTAATAAAGATTTGAGGCTGTAAAACAAAGGTTTATTTGGGGCCTAAAGGATTCAAATCCAAACAAGGTAGATTTAGGTAGCAACCCAACTGCACTCTGGAGAGAACAAAGGAAGACAAGGTTTATAAAGGATGTTTATGGCTGGGCCTTGAGCTGAGTTTAGCAACAGATTTAACAACTTAATAGCTGCTCTGAGAACTGTGGCACAAGGTGGGCCTCACTTCCTTAATTGTCTCCTGACTGTTTTAAGTGACTGCCTTAGCATTGTTTACTCCATTTTATTATACTGCCTTCAGTCCTTGCACAGGTATTAATCATTCTACATTTTACTAAGTTACTACTGTCAGTGTCCTTCAATGATGTCCTATTTAAAAATCCTTCCATTTCAGCGGTTCAGTCAAATGAAAAATTAAATGCACCCTTCCCTTCAAAGACAGTGTGCCCCCTTTCATCTCTTTGTTAATGGTACCAGGATTCTCCCAGACCTGAACTTTGGAATTAAGTTAAAACTTCTCCCTGATTACCTACATCTATCCAACCATATCCAATCATTTGGCCTTAAAAGGTCTTTCTTCATTATGCCACTAATCTCTCCCTCTTTCTTTGTGTTCACAAATAATTTGGTGTGAGAAGCACTGACAAGGTTATTTAAAATGAGTGAATGAATTTTAAAAAGCAGAGAGCACAATGCAAATTGAAAACAGACCCAGTCCCTTCCATACTCAGCTGTGCCTGTGCAGCTACCTGGTGACTTCATGTGGAGCCCGGTAAAAGAGAGAAACCAAGAGTCTGACACCAGGTACATTCAGGTGTCACCATAGGACTGGAGAAGACCCTCACAGTAATAGGTGTCGATGACTGAGAAAACAAGTATAACCAAAAAGTTCTGGTCTATACATTGCACACTCTTAATGTGCCTGTTTATAATTCACAAATTGTGGTTGACCTTGCACTGTACTGCAAAGGGCATGGCTGGATTGGGAGAAGCAAGAGATAAATTAACTTGATTTTAAAACCTTAAACAAAGACTGGTTTTAAAAAATGGCAATGAGCCATATGGAGCACTATACCCATTTAATTGCGTGGAAAGAATTGCTATTCCAAGACAGAAGAAAAAATGGTCTGATGGTTTATTTAGTTAAAAAATAACTTTAAAATCAGGCAAAAGAAAATAAGGCAGAAAAAAAAACCAAACTATTTACAGGCTAAGTTTATTAATATGACATAATTAGCAAATGCCTTTATAACCAATATTATTTTATGTCATAGCCTGGCCATTATAAGTTTTTGGGCCTGTGAAGTTAAGCCTCGAAGTAGAACTGTTAGTACAAACCTTCCAAATTGTTTCACCTATCTACTCCTGAAGTCATTTCCAACATAAATTTCTCACTGTTTGTTAGTTACATTATTACAAAGAAGAATGCTTTCTCATATTTGGCTTTGGACAAGATAAAAACGTTTATTTACAAATATTCTATTTCTTTAAAAAAATATATATATATAGGAAAAAGTATTTGGGTAAAATATGATAAAAATCACAGGAAACAAAGCCAAATTCTGATCAAATCAAGGAGAAATTGGTGAGACCCAGAAAATCAAAACCAGTCATAGCAGTTACAACATGGTCAGGGCAAAGAGACTGAAAAAGAACAATCATATCAAATTTCCCTCAGACCCCTAACCAGTGTTTTTATCCCATAAATTAATAGCCAGCTCAGAAATTTCAAGTTATGTATAGCCTTATTTCTATCCACCTCAAATAATGGTGAAATAATTTATATCAAATAAATACAATATCAAAGGTGGTGATGGACTCCATTCAGAGAACACAGTAGGAAAACTAAAGTGGCTGAAATTCTTTTACAAATACCATCAGCTAACTCAGGGAACATTTGTTGAAACCCAGGTTCACTTTCTTGTAAGTTGTTACAACCAAACAAAATTGTATTTTTTTCAATGTGCAGGAAGAGTCACTGGGATCCTTCATAGAGGAAGGTCTTGGTCCATAGGTGATACTGAGGGCTGATTCCTTCTCTCCATCTGTTCAGAAGCTCATGCTTCCTCATTGTGTCCAATGAATGTGAGAAATGAACTATGGATAGTTGGTGTTAGGAATATAACAATAGAGGAGATTATGGTAAAGAAGATTCTTGCTAATAGAAGGCCTCAATAGCTTTAGTATCTAGGCTAAATTAGGAGTAGCTTTTGACATCTTTGGGTATTGAAGTGGGTTAATCTTTCTTTTTAGAAGAGGTAGTTTGGCATGGTCAATATATATTGTGGGTTGATGTGAAATGAGTTCTTATGGGGAAGAATCCCCACTGGTGAAGCTTGCAGACTTTTCACTCTTTCCTCCCACTAGCCTTTTGGTGCTTCCTGATCTTGTAAACGTCCCCGAGACCTCAGAGTCACTGTGGCCTTCCCTTGGCTCCTGGGCCTTCTGAGCTTCTCTCAGTTCCCTAGCAAGGAAAGAGGAAAACCACATGTTACTCCAACCTAAATTAGAGATGTTCATGATAAAAATTACCATATAGTTAGAGATTTCTTTTTATTTCAGTATTTGTAGAAACAAGCCTAAGCTATCTATACATGGAAAATTTGCGCCTGTGATTGTCTTAAAAAAATGGCCAGCCCACAGTGGCAAGTTCAGTTTCCTAAATCCTATTGATTGGGGTATAAGTGGTCTTCAAAATAAGGAGGTAACTATAGATTATCCTGTAGTGGAGACCATGGCCATGGGTCAAATCTGGCCAGCCACCTGTTTTTATAAATGAAGTCTTATTGGAAAACTTAACCACACCCATTCACTTATGTGTTGCCTGTGGCTGCTTTTACATTATGTTGAGTTATGGCAGCAAAGATCACATGGCCCACAAGTGTAAAATATTTACTATCTGGCTCTTTATGGAAAAGTTTGCCAACCCCTGGTCTAGACAGTTTCAAGCAGGCATCTGCCCCATCTCTAATGGATGTCCATTGCTGGTAGTGGCTGATGACAGTCACTTGTGCCTTCATAGCTGGTTTTGCAGAATGTACACACTACACCCGAAGAAAAACTTATATTCCTGTGACTATATATAATATACACACACACACACACACACACACACATATATATATATAGGATTCCATTTTCCTATCTAAAAACAAAACTAGAGCAAAAAGTAAGTTGCTTATTAGGAAGTATTGCCTGATTAAAGTCTCCACAACTCATTGCCAATACATCATGTTGCAGCTTTTTCAAGGTAATTATTCTTCAATGGGTTGTGTAGCCAAAAGAAGTTGGACTTCTAAGCTTATTTTACACATGGACCCATCTTCTTTTATTTTTTAATAATGTACAGTGTATGTAAAAATCACTTTAAAATGCCTTCAGAACTCTGCTCAAACATCACTGCCTGACCTTTATACCAGCCTGTCCCATGTGATTAATTCCCTGTCCCATCTGATTAATTCCCATTTGTTTAATGAAGGAATAGATTTATAAATTAATGCACACATGAATATAAGCTTACATGAATAAGTCATCAGTCTACTTCCTTTAGCTTGGAAAAATAACTCTTCCTCTGAATAAGTACCAAGAGAGAATTATCTGTCTGCCCCTCAAATTTAATGGGATTCTAAAATCAGTCTCTTTCTACCTTAACTAGGATTACCTGGCATTGGGAGATCACCAGTTTCTTGAACACCTGTTGTCACTCAGAATCCCACTAAGTTTTCTTTACCGGTTGTATTTCCTTGCATTCTTCACTCTGCTTCCTTTGCATTTATTGAATTTTGTGTCTCAATCACAGAGCCTGTGCTACAAAGGGCTGCATATTGCTAGTCTCTTTGTGGGCAGAAACATATGTATTATAATGTTGGGTTCCACTTGCAGACACAAGTTCCAATTGTGAAGCCACAAAGCAGATATACCAGTCATATCACATAGCAGTACATAAAGAACTTAACTCCAGCATCCAAAAATCTACCTTTCCAGTGTGGCTGTCTTCATCCTTTCCAAGTTGAGTTGCTTCTGGAGCTCTTCTGTTTTCCCCAAGGTGGGACGGAGAACCCGACTTCTGGCCAGAACTGCTGCCGAGGGTCTCCACCTGGGATCAGGGTGGATCATGCTCTGATAATGTGAGGAAATAGAAGCTTCACTGTTTGGGAAATCAGCCCACCCAAACCCACACCAAACCAGCTTCTGCTGTGGGTTTTGTGAAACTCTACCTACCCTTTGTGTGGAGGGAAGAAATAGATGAAAACTTACCCCCACCCTATCTGGTAGGTCAGTCATCCATACCTCTGACTTTAAGTATCATAGTTTAGAGCCAGTTGGATGATTACTCTAATGCCTTAATTTTAAAGAGGAAGAAAATGAGGTTCTGAAATAAAGTGACTTGTCTATCTCATTGACAAGACCCAGACTAATCCAGGTTACTCAACTCTTACTTCAGTTTACTTTTTACTACAATATGCTCCCTTTTCACTTAAGTTAATTAAGGATACCACACCATAACAATATTCCTACAGCACTTATCTTCAGGTGGGGGGTGTCTGTAACCTAAAATGATTTCAATATGGTAGAAAATGCCTAATTATCTGCAGCAATTAGCAGTGTCATATAATGAAGAAAACACTTCACCTCTATCTGGGGAGCAATGTTCAAAACCAGCTCCTGTTTACTATGTAGTTCTGAGCAAGTCTCTTTAAAAAAAATATTTTATATGTGTGTGTGTGTGTGTGTGTGTGTATATATATATATATATATATATATATATATATATGTAAAATATTATTGATTTCAGAGAGGAAATGAGAGGGAGAAAGAGATAGAAACATCAATGATGAGGAAAAAAAATCATTGATTGGCTGCTTCCTGCATGCCCCCTACTGGGGATCAAGACTGCAACCTGGGCATGTGCCCTCGAATGGAATTGAACCTAGGACACTTCAGTCCAAAGGCTGACATTCGGTCCACTGAGCCAAACAGGCTAGGGCCTGGGCAAGTCTCTTTGTTGAAATTTAGCTTCCCTTTCTTGATATGTGGGACAGCAATGTTCACCTTTCAGCTATTGTGAGAACTAAATGAATTAACATATATGTACTACCAGCATTGAGGTATTCAATACTTATCTACTGAAGTGAAGGGCAGTTTACACATAAAAATAGGTGATTACACTGTGAATAAAAACCACTCTGAGGAAGGGTTTGTCTCCTTTCACGAAAGCAGAAGTGAGGAAGGACAAGTTTGTAACTAAATTTGAAGTTTTCAGGTGAACTGTGGAGCCCAGATGTAATCCCCAAGAGCAGATATTTCTAAGGCTTTTAGGGATCCTAACAAATCATGTTCCTTAAGCCCTAAAGTAAGTCTTACATATATCTTTTGTTTTCTTAGTATAAGTCTAAGCTTCTCAATAGTGTAGATTTTTTGTACCTCTCTGTTTCAATGTACTATCTTCCTTTTCTAGTTCCTACAGATATCATTGAGTACAAGTGACAGAGATTCCTGAATTGACATCCCCTTTTGTCCAACAGTTCAAATGACTGGTATTATTGTCAATAATTAATAAGTTAGCTTATACTTTCTTCTATACACTCAAAACTCAGGTGGTGTGTGTGTTTTAATAAAAACATTGTTACTATTGATAATGGTTAATTAAAACCCTGAAATACTAGGAGCAAAAAGAACAGGTTTGATTTTGGAGTTAATCAATTACCAAACGTGGAATACAAGTGAACCTGGGTCTCCTCAACTATGCACTTCACAGGGTTGTTCAGAAAAGGCAAATGATAAAAATGCAATAGCATATTTAAACCATAACATAAAAGGTATTTATGATATTTTCTAAATGTCCTTGAGACGCTTTCAATCAGCTCTGTTTTTGCTGGGCTTCCTAGTCCTGGATTCCCTTTTCCTTCTGTCATTGGCACTGCCAACATCCTCGTTTCCTTTTCCTCATCCACTTGCCATTACACTTTAAAAAAAAAAAATCAGTATTTCTATTGTCTCTTCATTTCATAAGAGATATTACCTTGATCAGATTGTAAAATTCTTCTGAGAGCTCCTGAGGAATATCTGGAAGGTTACCCTCGCGGATATAATGCCACTCATCACCATTGCCGGGTAATGACTTTGCTCCTGCAGCCAATGCCATTGTTAATCCCAGGGCAAAAATGTCTGCTTTAGGGAGATGCTGATAATCCTTCAAAACAGAAGACAGGAAGGCCAGTTTGTTTGCCAAGCGAAGAAAGTCTAGACTGAAATACACTGGTCAGAAAGGTTCGTTCGAATGCATGTGAACTTAAACAGACACATTGGGCAAGGTCACATCCTCCATGGTTAGTGCTTTACCTCTAGGAATATAGAGGATAGAGCACAAATCCACCCAATTAACATCACTGTGCCAGGCCTGACTCCACAGACATCCTAGAAGGTAGGCAATAAGGAAAGGTCATTTCAATGACCAGAGTTGGTATGCTACCAACAAGAGAGTAGTAAGATAAAGATGGGCTGGACCAATCAATTCTTTCTTCCTACTAGGCAGTCCAGGAGTTTGGGAATTCTAAGAAATACTAGAAACAGTAAGGGACCTTTACAAAGAACACTACAAATATTGATTAATCCATAAATGAGCATCTTTCTCATGCTTTTTTAGAGAAAAATTCTCCTATTTTTGCTCTCCATTCTGAATAAAAAAAGGGATAATATCAATTTAAATTATAAATATATACTTTCCATTTCTTTCATTTGAGAGTCAAAAGGTTCAGTGAATTATTGTAATAAAATAGTCTGTTTCCCTAATCTATACCTCTTGCAAAATCTCTTTAGCCAGGAAGTGAATATCTCCCTCTTCCACTCTGGGTTTGCTTATTGATGTTGCAAGACCCAAGTCTCCTAAAAAACAAAAAACAAAAAAGAGTTCCTTATAAGCATGTCTTTCTTACAATGGGAGTAAATGGAGTCATCAGTATACATTTTATAGGATAATAGAACACAGGTCAAAGTATAAGGCAGACTCACCAATTTTGTATATCACATTGGTAGAGAGAAACCAATCAGCATCATTTTCAATGTCATCTTGGACTATAGAAGAGTCACTTTGTGCCTGATGACAAATGAAGATGTTACCTGCAAAAATACAGAATTGACATAGATAATGATTCCTATGTTTTCTCATCTCGAAGACACTGCAGCCACCTTCCTCTTCTGTGCACCTGTAACAACAGCACAAAGGGCCTCTTCTTCCTTGGAATTTCTAACACTACTTATGAACAGCTCAGTGATTGATAAGTGAAACTGATGTCAAAAATCGAGTAATGACAGTTCCTTGAGTTTCATATTGATGAGGACCCAAAGCATCCATTTCTGCTCACTTTATCGGAACTAGGAAGGGTTTAGCACCAGTAAACACAGTCAGGATGTAGCCAATATGTTCTCATTTATCTATGTGGTAAGTTAAATAATTATTTTCATATTTTGGCTTCACTATCTGAGAAAGTCTTTTCTCTCTGTGTCCCATGTGCCCAGGGAGGAAATGGTGAAAGCTGTTTAATTGAATTTGTTTAGGAGAAACAAATGAAATAAAAGGACTTTGCCAGCTAACAGCATCTTTAACAGTGATAGACAGACACAGATTCTGACAAGAGGGGGAAAAGAACTAAATACAGTTGGAGGGACAGAGGGAAGCGTACTGACTCGGTTTGATGTCCAGGTGCACCATGCCCGCGTTGTGGATGTACTTGAGCCCAAGAGAAATCTGCAGAAGGATGTCTTTGAGTTTTGGCTCTTCAAAGTGATTGCCAGACTTTGTATTTTCAGATATAGCATCCTGTAAGCTCCCACCTAGGAAAGAATGACCAAGGATCACAAAAAAAATACTGCCTGTCGGGAGAGATTCACCATCCAGCCCTGAACCTGATAGAATCCTGGTATTTGCAGAATCAACCTGCTACTGAAAACCTTCAGGTTGCTGGGGCTGACCCAGAGGTAACTTGTAGGGATCTTGGCAAGGTTAGGGGAGGAGGAGGGAACATTTAATTGGTTCAGGGCTCCAAATGGACAATAGGGGAAATCAGATGACTGCTAGTCTCTAGGAGTTATAATCTAAGTTGTCTAAATCATATCTAATTTATTGTCTGAGTTAAAGCCATCGCTGTATGTTCAAACCTGACCTGACATGCTGGGGGCACAGGGTAAGGGTGGTTGTGGGCAGACAGGGCAGGAGCGGGAAAAGATGAAGGTAGGGAATGCTGGGGGGGGGGGGGGGAGAGAATGGAAGGAGGAGGAATGAGCCACTGGATACTCTGCTACCTTACAGATACTTTGAACTTAACTTTTATTTAGAGCCGCAGGGCAAAGACTCAACATGAAGTATCCATAATTACAAACAAGACAAGGTAGAAGGGCATGCGTTATTTTCTATGATTAGTTCACATTTGAAAGGTTCAAAGTGTGTGAATTACATTTGATAAATCATAGTTACATTTTAATTGGTAGGTACTTAGTGAAGTTAGAGGACCGCCATGATGGATGGACAGTGATTCCCCATAATCCATCAAATCTAGTCCATCTGGCTTTCAGGGCTTTCTAGACTTCCTACACTTTACTTTGTTAATCTTTCCTTCTGTAGGGGTCCCCTCAGTCCCATTGTCTCCTTACTGTCTGCTAGGCTAGACCCATTGCCAATACCATCTGCTCTGTGCTTGTGGCTGTTTTCCTAACTGGATTCTTCCCTTCCCTAAACTCTCCTAATCCTTCTGCATGGTCTCCGTCAAGTCTTACCTCCTGTAAATTTTCTCAGGTTACTCTAATAATACTGACTGCTCCCTATGTGTGGAGCATTGTCACTGTGCCAGCATTTGACATAGATGTTTGCTAATTCTCAAACTACTCCCTTAAGTCATTACTGCAGTCTCTCTAGTCAGTGAGATTAAGTGATATCCTAGCGATCTTACAACTAGTGTGCAGCGGAGCTGGGTGTGTCAACCCCCAGGTCTGCAGACTTCAAAGCCCTGACCCCTCGTACCACTCCTCGCTGCCTCTTGCTCACTTTCCTCTTCTCTGGACCCTTTTTATTCATAGTTATATATCTGGCTCTGCACCTAATTCTTTCTTTCTTTCTTTCTTTCTTTAAAATATATTTTATTGATTTTTTACAGAAAGGAAGAGAGAGGGATAGAGAGTCCCGGAATCGAACCAGGGACCTTTCAGTCCATAGGCCGATGCTCTATCCATTGAGCCAAACCGGTTTTGGCTAATTGTTTCTTGTGTATTCACTGTCACAGAGCCAAGTGGGATAAAGATCCTTGAAGATAAATACTTATCTCACTCCACATTGTTTCTTACCATGGAGCTTAATAATTGTCAGTCCTGTAGGAGGTATTAAGTGTTGGAAAGAATGAAAAGGTGATTTGTAATGGGAACAATCACTCCATTTCTTTTCACTTTTTGAAAATTTGAAATCTTTATATTGCCTGAAATCTGTATTGTTTTGCTTTATTGAGTAATTTTTATTTGATATTAACTTTGTTAGTAGCTAGAAGTCATAGGAATAAAAATCAGTATTCTTATAAAGAGAGGGAGTAAAGGAATAAGGAATCTCAGGTCATGAAAGAAAATTAGGAAAAGAAGATGACTAAAAAGTTTCTACCTTTCAATCCTAAGGATAAAGATGGGGTACACTTTTTTATCCCCAAGAAACATAGAAAAAGGGATTTGTGGTGAGCCTGTTGGAGGAAAACCCCCTCAAAGTTCACAGCTAAGGCTACAAACCAATCAAGCTGTAAGGAAACAAGGAAATGCCAAATATTTGCTACTCCTCAAATGGTGGCAAATTTCTATTCAATGTGGTAGTACTTTTTCTACTTTACTGCTGAACCTTCTGATGAAAAATATTTCCAAGCATAACAACACATAACTGCTGTCATGTCAACTGTTTTATCAAGGATTAGAAGTATGTTAAACCAGAAGACCACTCTGTAACTTAAATCACCCAGAACAACAGTTTTACTGGTTACTGTGTACGTACAGTTCTGAAGGACCCTGGAGAATAGATCTGGAGACACTGTGTTTCAACCCCTGCCCCCCCCCCCCCCATGCCCTTACTCTAGTGAGAACACTGAGGCTCGATAAGGTTAAGAAGCAGCAAGAAGCAGGAACAATCCCCAGACTCAGGAGTTGGCTGTATACATTTACCAACACCCATCTTCTCCCCTCCCTAAAATTGTAGGGACTATGCATCTTTTAGAATACCTAGCAAATGGTAAAAGGGCGATTTACCATTCAAATCACTAGGGTAAAGTTCTCTCTCTGGTGTTAAGTAAAGTGTGAAGAGAGTGAGAGCTTCTATGTATCAGCTTCAAAAGAAATATGTAATAGCATAAACCTAAAATTCCTTTTCAACTCAACTCATTTCCTCCAGCTCTCTGCTTCTAAGCAAAATTGCAGGGCAGACATTTTAGGTATGACTGCTACACCCAGAATAAACTACAAGGAAGAGGTAAAGGTTTTTTTGTTTTGTTTTGTTTTGTTTTTTTGAAGACTTAACAGTTCATCTCCCATCCTGGCCAGGTAGGTCAGTTGGTTAGAGCAGTGGTCAGCAACCTCATTAGTCAACAGAGCCAAATAACAGTACAACAATAGAAATTTCTTTTGAGAGCCAAATTTTTTAAACTTAAAGTTCCTCTAATGCCACTTCTTCAAAATAGACTTGCCCAGGCCATGGTATTTTGTGGAAGAGCCACACTCAAGAAGCCAAAGGGCTGCATGTGGCTTCGCGAGCTACAGTTTGCTGACCATGGAGCATTGTCCCCATACTCCAAGGTTGCAGGTTTGATCCCCAGTCAGGGCACATACAAGAATCAACCAATGAATGCAAAATTAAGTGGAACAACAAATCAATGTTTCTCTCTCTCTCTCTTTCTCTCAAATCAATTAAAAAAAAAATTATCTCCCTCTCCGTAGACATTAGTCCACATACTTACCATTGCAGTATTCATTCTGAATGATCATGTGGTCATCTTCTACCCATGAAGAGTAATAACGTACCACATGGGGATGATGACCAAGTACTGCATGAGCATAAACTTCATGCAAAATTGAATTCCTAAGAGACAGAAAAGCATTGAGAAAAATCAAGATAATATGCATGCATATGTTTAATTTAAAAGACAAGATATGACTCATTACCAATGGCAGAACACTTATTGAATGCTCACTACTTGCTTATTATTTTATCCCTAATTTTCATAATGATGCAGTGAGATACAGTGGCAAGGATAAAAGCTTTAGAAAGGTCAGTGAATGGCCCAAACTCAAGCAAGTAATAGTAGACCACGGACTAGAACCTTGGTCATCTTGACACTTAAGTCCATGTTTGTTTTTTGTTGTTGTTTTTTTAATTAAACATGGCACAAGTAAAGAGAAGGCTTAGGTGGTACTACCTCAACAGCTTTGGGTCTTTATTTTACTGTATTATATTAAAATATCTTGATGGGCTTCACAAGAAGGCCACCATAGACTTGATTGTGAATATTGTCATGAGTCTTCTATCTTCTCTATGAAGGCTAGACAGTCAGAGTCAATATTAAACTTGCCAATATGCAGTCAGGGGACACTCTTGGAAAGATGTTTATACAAACATGAAATCCAACACAAAAAAAGCAAACTACAGTATTTAGTAAGTTTCAGTATAAAAATGATGAATTCTAGCCTGGCTGCTGTGGCCTGGTGATTTAGTGTTGACCTATGAACCAGGTCATGGTTTGATTCCTGGTCAAGGCACATGGCCAGGTTGTGGGCTTGATCCTCAGTAGGGGGCATGCAGGAGGCAGCCAATCAATGATCCTCTTTCATCATTGAGGTTTCTATCTCTCTTTCCCTCTCCCTTCTCTGAAATCAATAAAACATATTTTTAAAAAACAAAAATGAAAATGAAGGATTCTAAATTCAATAATTTCAGATTCGGCATAAGTTTTAAAAAGTATTCGGCATAGTTTAAATAAAAAAAAAAAAACAACCATTGGCTGAATCTGAAAATGTTCGTTATCCTTGAAGAACAATTACTTCTGGAAATGAAATTTAATTCTGTTAATTTTTCCTTCCTTTTAGTCCCTGAAACTTGACTATTAAATTCATTATTAATACAAAGTAGAGATAAACCATGGAGTTATCTACTTGGCAATATTTCTGATGAAACTAAAGGGAAATCATATAATCATTCCATAAGTTTATTAATTATTAAAAATCAGTAAAACCAGTAGTAAAAGCCACAAAAACCACACACACACACACACACACACACACACACACAATGACTCGAAATGATCATGGTATATTTTAAGAAATAACTGACGTCTAATATGGAAAACTCAGAAAGGTTATAAATCTGAGATAATATACAATGGAGGGGGTGGGGTGATTTTTTAAAAGTAGCAAAAAAATTTTTTTAATGATATCAGTTCTATTATTTAAAATATTTTGACAAGAAAAAGCTTTCCAAATCCAAGTTTGTGTTTCTAGTACATTTCAAAAGTACTCACTCATTTAATGCTTCTGCAACAGAGTTCGTGGAGCATTTTATTGCATAAACACATCCATCCAGCCTCTTAATGCACTTGTAGACTGTACCAAATTCCCCAACCCCAATCATTTCTAACTCCATGAATTCTTTTGCATAGCGGGAAGTCATGTTGGTTTCTCGTAGAACAGATCTCTGAAATATTTTAATGAAAAAGTTAAAATAATCCTTCCTAACATGTGAGCAATAAAGTTGAGGCATATTATATTCCTATATATAATAATAATACATATATATGTTATTGATTTTTTACAGAGAGGAAGGGAAGGGAGAGAGAGTTAGAAACATCGATGAGAGAGACACATTGATCAGCTGCCTCCTGCACACCCCCTGATGGGGATGTGCCTACAACCAAGGTACATGCCCTTAACTGGAATCGAACCAGGGACCCTTCAGTCTGCAGGCCAACGCTCTATCCACTGAGACAAACTGGTCAGGGATGGCCATAATCTTCTTTATCTGTATGTTCCTAGAGGAGACACTTCTACTCACAGCCAGAGCTACCCTACCATCCTCAGCTGAAGCAGTGACTGGGAGCTGGGTAGGACAGGACATGTTAGAGAAAAAACACAAAACAAACAACCTCCCTGTGACAGTAATCTACAGGTCTCACACTCTGGCTGCTAATTATCTCAAGTTGAATAAACATACTTGTGTTCAATTTGCTTCACCAAAAATCTTAGTCTGAAAAACAAAATTCTCCAATTTATTATTTCAGACTAGAGACCCAATGCATGAAATTCATGCAAGGAGCTTGGCCCTCGAAGCCCTAACTTTGTTGGAGCTGCCTAGTCTAATTAGCATATTACACTTATTATTATAGATTATGTGCTCAGATATAACAACCACTCCCCTTACTGGCCAAGTAGCAACATCACCGATTGCCCAGCTAGTAAAGAAACCCAGGCAAATCATTTAATTTTTAAATATTTTTTATGTCAGTACGAACCTCAGCAGGTTCATAATAACCACTCCTCAGGGTTCTTTAAAATACTATTCAAGAAAGTGTGTGTGTGTGTGTGTGTGTGTGTGTGTGTGTGTGTGTGGTGTGTAACAGTACAATGCCAAGCACATAGTAACTTCTCAGACAATGATGGCTCTGATTTCCATACATTATATGAACCTCAATCCAAGCTGACTTATCTCCACAAACCCAACATTTTCCAATTGTCTCCATAAGCATGAACTTTTAAATCTAAAGTTTTAAAAATCTTGACTCTTTCTTGCTCTTCATTTTTAACATCCAGTGTCAGTCAGTGTTCATCAGTAAGATCTACACTTTACATTTCTCTTATCCAGTCTCAAGCTCTGTTTCCTCCATGTCTAGATTTGCTGTAGCAACCAGCCCTCGATCCATGTCCTCTAATAGTAAGAATTGTTTTTGCAAAATGATTCTGTAGAATAGGAAACACCTCATTGTTTTCCACGAGGATTTCAAACTTCTAATCAGAGGCCTCAAGGCTGTCTACCAGTAGCTCACCCACTCTAATGATTCAGCAACAATGATTCAGCATAAATAAGACAATGTCTAGTAAAGTTAATAACTAGCTAGCCCTGACCAGGTAGCTCAGTTGGTTAGAGCCGTCATCAGCAAACTGTGGCTCATGAACCACATGGGGCTCTTTGGCCCCTTGAGTGTGGCTCTTCCACAAAATACCATGACCTGGGCAAGTCTATTTTGAAGAAGTGGCATTAGAAGTTTAAAAAATTTGGCTCTCGATAGAAATTCAGTTGTTGTACTGTTGATATTTGGCTCTGTTGATTAATGAGTTTGCCAACCACTGAGTTAGAGCATCATCCCAATATGCTAAGATTGCAGGTTTAATCCCCAGTCGAGGCACATAAAAGAATGCATAAATAAGTGAAGAACTAATAAATGTTTCCCTCTCCCCCCCCTCCTCTATAAGAAAAATAAAGTAACAACTAACTAATAATATAGACCCTGATGAGAGGCCAAATAAATTCATCTATAAAGCAATTTGCTATGAAGTGCTGGGGCTAGGGGTGGAATGAAGAAAGGAAGGAAGGAGGTAGAGAGGAAGGCAGAGAGGACAGAAAAGAAAGGGAGGAAACAGAGGCAAGAGAATGAAATGACTGTTAGTACAGCTGGGCCACAGAACTGTGCTCACCTTGGCAGGCAGCCCTTGTTCTGCTTTGCCTTCCCCTGGATCAACTTCCTCACTTAAAAAAAAAAAAAAATGATGTCAACATATAATAAGGATTAGCACTCATTGATCCTAGTACCATGCTGGTTTCTGGGGCTATGAGACTAAATAAGACAATTCCTTTCCCTCTTCAATTTATATTTGGGGACAGGGAAAAAACAGACATTTCAATATAAAAACCCAGGTGAGGATAAGAACAAGATATCAAGGGATATGACAGCACCCAATTAATTATTTCAAGCATAAAAGTATTTCCCAAAAGAGAAGATATGTAAGCTAGGCTTCCAAGAATGAGTCGGAACCACATAAAGGAAAGGAGCAGAGTTTTAGGCAAATAGAACAGCATCTGCTGAGCACTGGAGGCAGGAATGCACACAGAACACAAGTGAAACTGTCTGCTCTTCACTACCACCTACACCACATGTGTCAAATACAAGGCCCGTGGGCCAAATCCATCCCGACAGGCCTTGCAATGTGGCCCGCACCGCGCTGTCATCACTGCACTCCGCTGCATTTCCATCACAATGACAGTTTATGACTGTTCAGTAAACCATTCGGCCCGCGATTTAGGCTGGATTTTAGATTTTGGCCCCTTCTCTGATTGAGTTCGACACCCCTAACCTACACATTCCCCTTTCTTCTCCCTCAGAACCTGGCTGTATACCTATGAGTTTCTTGGGTAGACCAGACGTATAGCAGAAGGAGCCCTGACCCTGGCTAAGATATTATCGATGACTGTTCTTTAAAAAAAAAAAAAAAAAAAAATTGTTTTAAAGAGACATTTTTTTAACTACACAGAATTTGGAATCCTTAAATAACAAAGAATATCAGAAACAATAAACAAAGATTAAATAGAAATTATAAACAAAAATACAAAATAGTTGTAAAAATCCCAATCCTCCTCATCTATAAGTGTAATGCCAAGCTAATAAAAATACTAATAGGTTAGCTGAAGTCTCTGAAAAAATCTCTTTGGCATGAGCAGTTGCATCCTGAATCTTCAAGCAAGATTTTAGTTTCTACACTGCTTTCAGCCAAGTTATAGATTTTTCTTCTGGAGAAGTACAGGGTATTAATGACAAATGGAGGGCATCACACTCGTGGAAATAAATTGATACTTGACATGTGTGACCTAAATTATATATGACATTTGAAACTTTATTAAATACAATTAAGTAAGAAAAATGCCCTCTCAGCACTAAGCAACATTACTAAAATATCCCCAATTTCACTGCCAGGAATTCAGATGAACTGTCTGGTCTGGCTGGCTTCAGTGCAAGTGAAACCACAAATTCTGATGACTTATAAATAATCCTAAACAGCTAAAATCAACAGAATTCTTGGTAACAAAAGTGGGTGGTTTACTTGTGCTGAAGTCCTGTTTACTTAAGATCCAGGAAGACATTGTTGAGAAAACCTATTCTAGGCCTAATGCTGGTTAATACATAGTCACTGATCCCCAAAGAAACAACTCAAGGTAACACTTTAAATGCTCTGCAAACTTCAGACTGTTAGCTGTGCCCTTATTTTGCCAAGTACATTCTCAGAGCACAAAGACTGGCTCATATTAGAGGTGGTTTCTTTTTATAAATAAGGAGCCTTATGGGGACACGGTAAAGAAATGTCCCTGTGTCTCATGCAGTGGTGCAGTTTGCCTTTTACCACTACTGAAAGCAGCACTCTCCTCTCCTCTCCAGCCAGTCTTCCAACACCTGCTTAGAAGTTCAAATCCTTGCCCCACAGCTCTCATCACCAGTCAGACAAGCTGGACTAGAAACAGTAACAGAGTCTTTGAAGTGTGAACTGTACTTTCCCCAGCTGCTAACCTTCTGCTGACCACAGGAGACCCCTTGAAGGCAATTCCATAGCCCATTTAACTTCCTAATGGAAGTCAGAGGTCTGCTGTCCTTTTATAGAAGGCACCTCACAGCACACTCCAGATGGAAAGAGGCTAGAATCTCTGTGACAACCCATGCGAGGGGAAACCAACATTGACATTTAGAAACGAGGGGGTATGTAACCAATGCTGGTTTCATTTTAACAGAGTTCTTGCTCCTAATCTCACTTCAACATTCTCTCTTCCTCTTGACCACAGTTAAGTAAGATCGGTTCTCAGAAATCATTGGCCACAGTATACTCACGGATATCCTCGGGTTTTCCTCTTGCCACTGGAATGAAGGAACTCTTTTCTATAAGACTCTGGAGTGAAGGGATTAATATTAACCAGAGCTAATGAGGTCCTTTCATCTGTTACGGAGACAGGTGTGAGCCTAAAATGCTTAGAGCCTCGGGAGGGCGGCTTCCCTGTTGAAGAAATCATGGACTGGCTTGGCTGGCCCTGAGGATGACATAAGGCAAATTAGAATGATGTTAGTTAAAAAAAAAAAAAAGTTCCCTATCAGTTAGCTAGTTAATATTTGAACCAAATACTATTATTGCTGAAAGAGGTCTTGAACATTATCTGGTTCAGAGCAAACTAGTTGCTTCATAATTGGTCCTCTGGTGAAAAATACAGATTCCCAGTCTATCACTAGATATTTTGATTCATGGGACCCACGCAGGAATCTACTGTCATTACACTCCCCCTCTTTCCCCTAGGCACTTCTGATAACCAGCTTGGAAAACCACCAAATTGAGTCCCACCTCCAACTTTTTAAGGATGACATTTAAGCTTAGACAAATGAAAATAATTTTAGAAGACCTGGTCCTTATGTCTCAGAGTGGTTACTTTTAACTCCTCATCATTTATTGAAATATGTTGTTTGCTGCTTACTAAGTAGCTGATTCTGAGCTGGGTGCTGTAAGAGGTGCAGAGATGAATTCTAGCTCTTAAATGCTCCATTAAGTAGCTGTTCATTGATGTTTCAGAAATAATGACTTTATAAGGGGAATATTTCAAAGATTCAACATCGAAGAAAATATTTCCAATTCCTCTTAAAATGTAGGCACCAAATGAGAGGAGTTCCATGAAGTGGGGTTAAAAAATGGAGAAGTAATGCTCTAAGCCAGTGGTCGGCAAACTGCGGCTCGAGAGCCGCATGCAGCTCTTTGGCCCCTTGAGTGTGGCTCTTTCACAAAATACCACAGCCTGCGCAAGTCTATTTTGAATAAGTGGTGTTAGAAGTTTAAGTTTAAAAAATTTGGCCCTCAAAAGAAATTTCAATCATTGTACTGTTGATATTTGGCTCTGTTGACTAATGAGTTTGCTGACCACTGCTCTGAACCCTTGGGCTATAAGGCTTTAACTAATAGTCAATGAGAAGAAAATGTGCAGGACTTACCACTCCAAGTAGGTTACAGTAAGAGAACACAGGCTCAAAACGTACCCAGAACTAAACCAAAAGGCAGAGGGTAGAGGTCAAAGACAGAGAATTCTGATGAGACAGCAGAATGCTATTATGACCTAACTAGCAAGGGCCAGAGGAATACCTGTGGCATAGGCCTTCAGGAGTACATGGTAGACACAGGGGCCATGACAAATCTTATAGTATAAGCATTATACTATGAGCTCTTTCTTAAAGAATTCTACTGTCTCATAGTCTCTACTCATGACTTTTCAATGTAGAAGCAGAAGGTAGTTATAACATGATTCACTACATGCAAATGTAATTTAAAGAATGTGAGGCTACAAAAAATGAATATTGAACTTATACATATTCACTAAATGATTGATACAAGCAGAAATGAAGAAAGCACATGTAATAACATTTTTAATTGATTTTAGAAAGAGAGAGAATATTGATGTGAGAGAGAAATATCAATCCCTTGCCTTTTATATGTACCCCAACCAGTGATTGAACCCACAACCTGGGTATGTGACCTCACCGGGAATCGAACCTTCCACCTTTCAGTGCACAGGATGATGCTCCAACCAACTGAGCCACACTGGCCAGGACACTAACATTTATTGTTTTTTTAATGAAGAAAAAGATGTCATTGCCAGAATTGATTTTTTAAACAAGGGTTTTATATATCTTAGAATTCAAAGGATGAACCACCCTGGGGCTATTGTCAGAGAAAGCCACCAATGACAAAATCACAGTCTTCCTGTAAGTTTATTATAGGGCTGAGTATTGGTTCAAAAGAAGTACAACTGTATAATATTTCTGTTGTCAATGTGATTCAGGAAATGGACCTAGAATGATAGTGAATCATTATCTGAGAAAGTTTTTTGTGATGCTGAGTAAAGCACATCTATGGAGAGTAAAGCACATCTATGGAGAGTAAAGCACATCTATCTTCTATGAAACAGTGGGCCATCCACACCTAGAATGCTGCAAAGCTCTGGCTGCCAACCCCCAGGACAGCAAAAAGGGCCTGGACATTTCTCAAATAAAAGGAAGGAAAAATGTTCACTTCAGGGCAGATAATGTCAGAATTCCTAGTTTGGAAAGGTGAAGGCTGGTAGATTCTGCAAGTTCCACTTAAAATAGAGGAAAGGATATTAGTTCTATTAATAAAAATTGTATTGCCAGAATGACAGAATTATGAGTAATTCTTTTGATACCTATAAGAACATAAGTGATTGATGAAAGGAATTTCATGAAAATAAAGCATATTGAAAGTTTCTGAAAAGATGACCAGGTTGAGAGTATAAATATGATCCAGAAAGTGGAGCTAATTCCATAAGTTGAACAGCTCCATTATAGATGATTTAGAGAAAGAAAGGAAGTATGGGTGACTTCCGAAGATGGTGTGAGAAGGAGGGCAACCGCCCACTAAGGCACAACATCACAATGTCTTGGGACTGGGAAAAAATTTAAAGGCCCAGTCACTATAATCAGTGCCCTGATGCTCGAATCCCTTCTATGTCTCTATCAAGTGGTCATTCAGTGACAAGGGCCTTATTACCTTGTAAGAAAGCTCTTCTATCTCTCTACATCCTGCTAGGAAGTCCCTACAGTGAGCTGAAGACATTCTGGGTGATTTCTGGCCCTATCCTTTGTCAAGGCTAAACTAAACCAACATTCCTTCCCTATGCATCATACTTGACTTCGGTATAACATCTCCAATTAATATTGCCGTAGCTTCCCTCCTCTGACCCTGAGACAAACTATAAAGTATGTACTTTTCTAGTTGAATTTCCAGTTTCCCTTCCAAACTCTCCTCTGCCTGTCTCTCAAATCTTGGCATTATTCAAGACCCCTAACTCAAACCACTACTCTCCTTACTCAGGAGACATGAACTTATCCAACCAAGGCTTCCACAGCCCCCTAAATGCTGATGGTGCCCAGATATTGATTTCCAACTCAGATTGTCTCCCTGTACTCCAGACCCATTTATGCAATTATTTGCATGACATCTATGCTTTTTCCAAACCTGTACATCCTTTAGTGTCACCTGTCTTGATTCAAGTTACCATGTACTCAAGCAAGAAGCGTGGCTGCACTCCAGCTCTCTCTTCTTCCATCACCTCCTCCATCAAGTCAATTACCAATTCCTAAACATCCCTCAATTTACTGCTGTTGTAACTCAAGTCCTCCTCCTTTCTCAACAATTCCACTGTGAATATTGCCCTGCCTCCAGGATCTCTCCTGCTCCATTCCATCCTCCACCTGAAGGTCATGATTTTTCAAAGGTGCCTCTGCTCAAAACCATTTAATAGCCTTCTCCACACTTAGCATAAAGTCTTGATCTAGCTCCTGCCTAACAACTTTGGCATCACTGCCTGCACTCTCACATGTACAAACTCTGTCACTACTGAGTAACACGTAGTTTTCCATGGTCTTTCCCCTTGACAATTTGGTAGATGCTTTGGCCTCAAGTGCTTATTGACCTCCTTCTTTGCCTGGTGACCTCCAACGCATTCTTTAAGACTTCTCTCAAACACTGGTCTCTTGGTAAAGGCTTTTCTGATATCTTGAGACTTAACTTCTAATTTTTTCTCATCATGTGGTACCACTTCTCTAACATACCCCATCTGAACTTTAATTATTGTTTTGATATTGTATGTATCTTTATTTTGTGAGCACTCTTTGAAAGCAGTAAATGGGTGTGACAGCAGAGGGTCAGCTAGCATATCAAGGTATTCAGTTCACTTTTATTGGGGGTAAATGAATGACATATACACACCATGTCATGTTTTCTCACCTGTGTACTTTTTCTCAGCACTATATTCTCTCAGGCCACTCTCTACTCTCTATATGTTAAAACCATACCAACTTCATTGATCTTCATATGTTTCCTTCACCTTTATTTCTTACCTGATCACCACTGAGAAGCAATCCACTCAGTGAACTCTGATCACTCTTTTTAAAAATATATATATATATTGATTTTTTACAGAGAAGAAGGGAGAGGGATAGAGAGCCAGAAACATCGATGAGAGAGAAACATTGATCTGCTGCCTCCTGCACACCCCCTACTGGGGATGTGCCTGCAACCAAGGTACATGCCCTTGACCGAATCGAACCTGGGACCTTTCAGTCTGAAGGCCGAAGCTCCATCCACCGAGCCAAACCGGTTTCGGCATCTCAGGCCACTCTTTACTTTCTATATGTTTAAACCATACCAAATTCATTGATCTTCATATGCTTCCTTCACCTTTATTCCTTTCCTGATCACCACTGAGAAGCAATTCACCCAGTGAACTCTGACCACTCTTGAAGCACCTGTTACATAGTGTCTATATGCACATCTATTTCTCAGAGACTGCCTTATGCACCTTGACCACAGTAGGTTTTCAAAAAACAAAACAAAACAAAACACCAAAAAACAATCAGTGGATGATTGATTGGTGGGTATTGGGACCATTGAAAAACCCACTGATGGACACCAAAGTAGTTTGTCTACAATTCAGACAAGAAGATTAGTTATTTCCTGTAGAAACAGTGCCCACACTCAGCAGGCACTAAAGAGACCTGCCGGCAGTGACTGTGCTACAATCAGAAGCACAGATGTTATGATGATGAACTTAAGTACCTCAAGCTGAGCCAGCAGAAAGTAGAGCTGATACCATTCCTGAGGCTCACACACCACAGCACCAGGCTGTTAGAGGTAGCCCTGTCCCAGCCCTGGCTTGAATAACAATAAAAAATGTAGCAGGAGACCAGTTTCAACAAGACTAGAGGAATATGCCAACTACTCAGGACCTTTGCTTATCGGCATCCTCGGCTTCTCCAGAAGTGTCACAGGTTCCCTCTTTGCTCACATAATAATGGAAGAGCCTGAACACTACAGGGCCAGGGAGGGGAGAAGACTTCCCTCTGGGCAGAGCAGCCACAAGGAGATACGAATATGTTCAAATAGAGAATGTGAACATTCTTATATTAGGAAATGTGAGTAAATAATCATTAAAAAAATAGTTGGTATAATGGAAAGAATAGACTGAGACAAAAACAATCAGGTTTCTAGTCCTGTCTCTGCCATTGACCTTGATTTTCTCATAGATCTCTATATTCCTCCCAGTGCCGATGTTATTTAACTAGGAACTTTCCCCCACACCTAACATTTATTTGTGGCCTCCGCCACATAATTGCTGGCAGCAGTGGCTTTGGGAAGACAGCTGGCAAGACATTTAATTCTGTTTTCTGATAATTTGAAGCTCTTGTTTATTTTTACCAGTAAATTGGGGATAATCCATCCTAAACACATAATGGACCGGTCCTCTTTTCCCTAATAGCTGAACTGAAAGAACCTGGGTCCCTCTCCCCAAAACTTACTCACTTTAGGAGTGACAGGACTCTCACAGTACAGGAGCTTGCTTCTGTCATCTGGCTGGGCTGGTGTTGTAGGCAACTTGGGCGGTTCTGACACCAGGGTCCCCAAAACAGGCTCTGGAGTCACTCGGCCTTTTCCCTGAAATGTGCGGAGTTTGGATTCATCCTTCAGGGGTGTTCTGGGTGGTGTAGACAGGGGTATTCTGGGTGGTGTAGACAGGGGTATTCTGGGTGGTGTAGACATGGCCTCTGAATCCTTGAGTTCAGACTGCTCTGGGGTGAGGGCCTGGGCCTCACAGCCCTCCTGTGCTTCCTTCTGCTCTTCATCCTCATTCTCTTTCTCACAACAGGAGAAGTTTAATTTCTGCTTCAGTTCTCTGTTAATACTGCTGTCATCCATCTCAGCCAAAGAGCTTTCCAAGGTAGGTGAGAAGGCCTGTCAGAGGGGCACAGTATCGAGATGCAGAAGTAGGGAGGCGAGAGCCTAAGCCAGCAAGCCCGCCTTTCCCTCTGCTCACTCACTGCTGCATGAGGCACACCCTTCATTTTCTCCCTTAAGTACCACGTGTCCTAAGCTCTCAGCTCGTCCTTATTTCCATTCTGATTAAAGAAAGCGCCAGCAACGCTTTGAGTAATTAAATTCAATTTACGTTAAAACTCTGTGGACATCACACAGAGACTCCCTGCACCCATGTGCTACAAGCTCATTATTAGAAATAAATTATTTTCACTCTTTTATATCCTCCCCTTTCCCATTTCCCCACAACCCCCCTCCCCTCCCCCTCTCTTCCACTTCCCACACATGGCTAAGAGGAGTTCATTAGAATTCAGCATCACCTGGGTGTAATAATGATCCGTAAGCAGCCTCTAACATTTCCAGGCTGGAGTTCATCTCCCAAATGGACACACACACCTTAGGTCTTTGCTAGATACATCTGCCTTAATTTCAGCCCCCCAGCCACCCTCCCACCTCCAGGTATTGACAGTTAAAACTTTCAACTTATCAAACTGACAAAAAAAAAAAAAAAAAAAAAAAGCTAGAACGATCAGTAACACAGAGAAGCAGATATATATCCTTTGAAAATGGCTATTATTTAGGCCCCCAAAGCCTTATTTTGTAAAACAAGTTTTCTTGCAGTTTGGATAATCTTTAGCACACATTATTCAATTTCTTTCTCAGAGAGGCACCCCATCCTTCTCCACCATCTCTCCCTCCCCTCCTCCCCACTCAAGAAGTATAAAAACTCTTTGAAGAAAAAAAAAAAAAGTCACCCATACCACTTTTTAAGAATATATATATTTTATTGATTTTTCACAGAGAAGGAAGGTAGAGGGATAGAGAGCTAGATACATTGAAGAGAGAGTAACATTGACCAGCTGCCTCCTGCACACCCCCTACCAGGGATGTGCCAGTAACCAATGTACATGCCCTTGACCGGAATCGAACATCGGACCTTTCAGTCCACAGACCGACGCTCTATCCACTGAGCCAAACCGGTTTCGGCACCCATTCCACTTTTTAAGGTTCTCCACCCAGTAGCCAAAGGAATCCTTTTTAAAGGATTTATTCTCAGATCATCTGGGGCCTCATACTCCCTCAGAATTCACAGCCAGAACCTGGTACCAAGGCCAACAGGACCTTAGGATCCACCTCACAGCCTGATACCTTACACATTCAGCTCCAGACTTCTTCCTGTCCCTCCAGATGCCAGTCTTCCCCACACGTCTCACTACTGGGCTTCCTCCAGTTATCCCCTCAAAGAGGTCTTCCCATAAACCCCACATAATCCCCATTACCCATCCTCTGGCCCCTTATGCTGGGTCACATTTCTTCACAGCATTCCAGGTTATCATATATTACATATCTAAAGGTTCATTTAAAAAATCCTGTCTCCCCTGTCTCACCCCCAATAGAATCTAAATCCCATCAGGAACTTAATTCTTATTTAATGTTCTATCTCCATTACCTGGAATAGGGCTTGACACGTGGTATGTACTATGAATCAAGGTACATGCTATACATTGTATTATATCCTCATGATGGACACTATAGTTGAAGGAATATCATTTATGAGCTTTCAAATTTTTAATTTCCAACTCCAATGCAAGTTTCAGAGGCCTGAAAGGCAGGGATATGTTGAATTTAAGTAACTCAGTAACTTTGAATATATAATCTATTTTATCAATTCCTACACCAATCTGAGCTCAGCCTCTGAGGTATATGAGTTACTGTTCTTTCAACACCAACAAGTGCCTGCAGCCCAGATGATTTGGGAGAACTGAAGAGAAATATTAGTGCAGATGGGGCTGACATTACAGCTACTATTGTCTAATGCATGAGATAGATGTTAGGAAGTCGGGAATCTGAGACAGATCAGGAACCCCAGGAAGTCTATGGGTGGCTTTGGGTCCACAGTGTCCGGGGACAGATAAGGGTGTAGATAGTCCCTAAACCATTAGGAAGATTATTTTCTTCATCACCTCCACACACTTTCTTAATTTCACCCTGTTACACCTCAGCTTGTCCCAGAATCTGAGCTCCTATCTGGACCAGTAGTATTTTCCCTGGTCAACTAATTATGCAGACTGATCATGCATGGGCAGAAACCTCACCTGGTAGGGAGTCTGCTCCTGGTAGAGAGAATAAATTTGTTGATTCTTCTCTAGTAAATATGTAATTCTTGTGCCATCTGAAGGGGAAAAAAATAGCTCACTTTTTGGGGAGAAACTGGATAAAATGATTTTAAATCTAACAAGGAAAAATAATTGTCGAAGCAATGGCAGAAGACTTAAAGAATAGACTACCTCTCTCAGAAATAAAACTAAATTATACCTGCATATTGTTTTTTAAAATATATTTTTATTAATTTCAGAGAGGAAGGGAAAGGGAGAGAGAGATAGAAACATCAATGATAAGAGAGAATCATTGATCAGCTGCCTCCTGCACACCCCAAAGGCCACAACCCAGGCATGAGCCTTGACTAGAAATCAAACAGCGACCTCCTGGTTCATAGGTCGACACTCAACCAGTGAGCCACACCAGCTGGCTACATGTGAATTATTTTATGCACATATTCCTAGTGTGGTACTAGTATAAGAATAGACAGGTCAATGGTGAAGAATACATGGACAATATCAGTAATTTAATATTGTACCTTAAAAGGGAATTATAATCATAGGACCCAGAAGGGTTTTTTTTATAAGTGGTGTAGCCGTTATTGGGTAACTATTCAATTAATAAAATTTAGAGTCTTATTTCATATCACATAAATATGAATACATTAAGATATCAAATGTGAGTTGAAACCGGTTTGGCTCAGTGGTAGAGTGTCTGTCTGCGGGCTGAAAGGTCCCAGGTTCGATTCCAGTCAAGCGCATGTACATTGGTTGCAGGCACATCCCTGGTGGGGGGTGTGCAAGAGGCAGCTGGTCGATGTTTCTCTCTCATCAACGTTTCTAGCTCTCTATCCTTCTCCCTGTTAAATATCAATAAAATATTTAAAAAAGATATCAAATGTGGAAAATAAATCTATAAGTAACTAGAAGAAAATAAAAGTGAATGTTGATCAAATTTCTGGGTGGGGACCAACTTCCCAAATGTTAAAGCAGCACCAAAAGAATTGCTAACTTTGACTACATAAAATGTAGAATTTCAACATTTCATCAAGCAATTAAGCAGCATTAAACTACACAGTAAATTAGAAATGATATTAACAAAAATTATTCCAGCCAAAAGATGAATATTCTTAGTGCATACAGAAGTTATGCAAGTTGATAACAACAGCATCAAGACCCCACATGATAAGTGAGGAACCACAAGTCAATAGCATATACTTGGAAACTAGGAATAGATGCAGTCACAAAACATTATCTCAAAGCAAAATGTCATTTACATCTGAAAAATTGGCAAAAAATATTTTAAGTGTCAATATCTAACTTGGACAGGAATGAAATGAAATTGATGTCCTTACACACTTATGAGTCAACAATTTGGCAGTACAAGAGAGAACCTTAAGAACATGAATACAGTTTAACCTGGTGTTCCCACCTCTGGCAACCTGTCATAGTCAGCAACCTCAATGGTTGATTGCATTTGCCCTGCCTGTCACCCCTCATTCTAGATTTCCTTTCTTGCTTGCTGCTGCCTTCCCTGCCAGGCTGTAAGCCTGATGAGAGGGGATGTCTGTCTTCTTCACTGCAGGGCTTGGCATATAATAGGTATCTAGTGTTAGTTCAGAGTGGAATTCAGCCAACCCTTTAGGCACAACAACAACAACAACAACAAAGGAAAGGGCTTGATTTTCCAACAACAAGAGTGAGAATGATTAAGTAAATTTCCCAAACATACAATGAAAACCTTTAAAATAATGGATATAAAAAGTTCTAATAGAATTAAAAAAATGGTCATGTCCTGAGGTTAAAGAATAAAAATACAAATGATATTCAGTATGATTTCTATATGTAAATATAGAAAAGAAAAATATCTAATTCTATCATCTATTCTAAGATATACCATTATATTCCTGCCACTAAGAATAAAAAAATGCCCATGATGGGTAATTAAGATGATACACTGTATACAGCTGTGACAAATAAACCTCCCTTGCAGAGAGGGCCAGGCAAGGAAACTTGTTTCTCTCCACTTTGCCCCACCAAAGAATTTGAAATATTATATAATCTAGAGATCAACCTACCTTGCATCTTAAATTTATACTACCAGCGTGGTTCAAAGAACCTCAAGCAGAGAATTTAACTCAAAATAGCCTCAGCTTGGTGGTGTCTCCAGATGGCTGACAAAGGCAAACACAGATCTCCTCTGTGAGACCAGGACCTCCGTGGGGCCTGCAGCAACCGCGAGTCACCAGAGCAATGTGAACAAGTAAACATTTTGCTTCCTAGGATTGATGAACTAGGACAAGCAAATCTTACCAGGGGCCAATTAGTGGTGAGGTTATAGATCAAAGGTACTTTAATGTAATGTATTTTATGTACACTTTATTTATTTATTTATTTATATTTATTTTTTAACATATTTTATTGATTTTTTACAGAGAGGAAGGGAGAGAGATAGAGAACTAGAAATGTCGATGAGAGAGAAACATCAATCAGCTGCCTCTTGCACACCCCCTACCAGGAATGTGCCGGTAACCAAGGTACATGCCCTTGACCGGAATTGAACCTGGGACCTTTCAGTCCGCAGACCGACGCTCTACCACTGAGCCAAACTGGTTTCAGCTCACTTTATTTATTTTTAAGTATATTTTTATTGATTTCAAAGAGAAAGGGAGAGAAACACCAATGATGAGAAATACCTCCTGCATGCCATGCCCTCTACTGGGAATTGAGTCCCAACCCAGGCATGTGCCCTTGAGAACCCCATATGTCAAAATTTTAAAATAAAATTATTTTACTTTCCAAATAATAAATTGTAGAGGTATTTCTATCTTTCCGCATCCAGCATGGAAAAGGAACAGGTTCAGTTCTGAGTGGAGGAGCTGGGGATCCTATCTAATAAAAGAGTAATGTGCAGATTGACCATCACTCCAACACAGAGGATGGCTGCCCCCAAGTGGTCAAAGATCTTGTCCCCAGGTGGACACAAAGTGGCCACCACAAGATGGCCAGCAAGGGAGGGCAGTTGGGAGGGACCAGGCCTGCAAGGGAGGGCAATTGGGGGCCATCAAGTCTGCAGGGGAGGGCAATTAGGGGTGATCAGGCCGACAGAGGAGGGGAATTGGGTGTGACCAGTCCTGCAGGGAAAGGGCAGTTAGGGAGGACCCAGGCCTGCAGTGGAGAGCAGTTGGGGGGAAATCAGGCCTGCAGGGGAAAGCATTTAGGGGTGACCAGGCCTGCAAAGGAGGGGGGGGGAGTTAAAGGTAAACTGGCTGGCAGGGGAGCTGTTAGGCATCAGTCAGTCTGGCAGGGGAGTGGTTAGGGGGTGATCAGGTTGGCAGGCAGAAGCGGTTAGGGGCAATCAGGAAGGCAGGTAGGCAAGCAGTTGGGAGCCAGCAGTCCTGGATTGTGAGAGGGATGTTCTAGATTGAAGAGGGTGCAGGCTGGGCTGAGGGACACCCACTCCCTCTGTGCACGAATTCCGTGCACCAGGCCTCTAGTTAAGAAAGAAAGAAAGCAAGATGCAGTAATAGAAGCAAGTTGAGAGCCGGGTGGGATGCTGCACTATGATGAGAGACAGGACCCTGAGCCCACGCAGTGCATTTATTTTATACCCCCAAATACCAGGAAGTGTCACCAAAACTTAGGATCAAAGGAGCTTATTTTGTATTCTTGAGTAGGCCCTAGCATTCCTGGTACTTGACTGGATTTACATATCTAGACCTGAAACCACAGGCACCTGGACAAAGGTAAAAAGGTCAATGCTGATAACACTTTCGGCCTTCTTGGGGAATGTATATCTGAGATGCGGCTCTGCCAGTCACCTCAGACTCAGCTGACAACAATTAAAGAAATGCCCAAGCGCTTTCCCAGGCGCTGTCTACATTATATAAAATACACTCTCTATAAAAGGCTCTTTGTTTAGGGTTTGGACATTTTGGCCTCCTGTTTATATAGAAAATTGATTGGGATGAGTATTTTGAATTTATTTCCTGGCATATATGCAGCTTGAGGATATTAAACTGAGGGAGGCTGGGCTCACACATAGACCAGGAAAGTCCCTCGTGGGAGAAAGAGGAAAGTCACACCTACAGCTGGTATCTTTGGGAATTGCTTGAGGATTTTCTAGAACCCCTATTCTGGATTTAAAATAACATTTTGAATGTCTCAACCCTTGGACAAATCTGGTGGCTATATCACTCATTTACAGGAGGGGGAAATAAGAACTAGGAATAGCTATTAAAATAACAAGAAAAACCATGGTGAGGAGAGGGACTTGTTCAGATACCTAATTCATCCAAGGTTCAGGAAGGCGGGCAGCTTGCCCTCTCAGAAGGACCCAGTGGACTCATGCTGAGTTACCCAGAGGGTATTTATGAAGATTCGCGTCCTACGTGCCAGAGATGCAATGATAATATGATTTCACTCCTCTTCCCAAGGAGATACTCAATGACTGCCCAAGGCTGCTACTTCGAGGCTGAAACTATGACAGCACAATAAAGAATCTATGCAGCATTTCCCCCAAAAAGAATAGCAACTGATTTAGTCATTTATAGATTTAGTTCAACCTCTTCCCTAACCTCCCTCTCCCCCACTCCACCAAGACAACTGACCACCACGCTCTGTGGAAACGGTCTGAAATGGGTGGGGAGCCCCAAAGTCCAGGAAGGCCAGGGCCAAGACACTATCCGGCTCTTTCCAGGGCACACCAGCCTGGGTTACAGACACACTACCCCAGGCCAGACCCCAAAGCGCCCAGCTCCAGGACACCAACCAGCCCCATCCCAAGCCCGACAGCACCCTGCTGTCAGTGCTCCCTCTCCACTTCCCAGCACAGTGGAGGCTCTGGCCCCGCACATGCAGGATTATGTAATGCACATCTGTCATGGCCCATAGGACAAGGGGGCTTTCAAAAACAATGGTGATCTGTAAAACTGCACGGTGGGACAGTTATCCCACGGAATTAATTGTAAGTAAGAAGGAGCCATAAGCCAGGCACAGGTAACCAGATCCAGGTGGTTGCGCGGACTGTCACCGCACATTTCCTGTACCCGAGCGCGTAGGCGTCCGTGCACCCTCAAACCTGGGCACGGAGTCCAGCGAAGCCTGGGGGAGGGGACGCCCGCGGGAGGGCAGCCGGGCCGGGCGGGGCCGCGGGGCAGGTGCGGGCGCGGCGGAGGGCGCGGGCCGCGGGCGGCGGGCGAGGGGAGCTCCGCAGCAGCCCGCCCCTGCGCCCGCCCCTCCCGCCCGCGGCTCCTCCTCGCTTCGCCATGGTGGAGCGGGGCGACGCGGCGCCGCTGCTGCGCTGGGCCGAGGGCCCCGCCGTCTCCCCGCCGCAGGCCCCGGAGCTGCAGGCTGGGGGCGGGGGCCGGGGCCGGGGCGGGGGCGGCCGGGGGCCCGCGGAGGCGCCGAGGCGGCGGGAGCCCCAGGAGCTGGGCGCCCCCGAGGTGCTGCTGCAGCCCGGGCGCCTGGAGCTGGGCGACGTGGAGGAGGACCAAGTGGTGGCCGTGTTCGTGGTCACCTTCGATCCCCGCTCGGGTGAGAGCCTCTCCGAGAGACCCTGGGTGGGAGGGGGGTGTCGCCCCCAAACCAGGGCTGGGGGGCGGCGGCGGGGGAGGGGCTGGCTGCGCGCGCACCCGCACCTACACACCTGCACCCCACCCCGCGGCGGGCTCCCTCGGAGGGAGCGGGGTGTCCCCGGCAGGGTGTCCCCCTGAGTTTGGGCGCGGGACGCGGGGCTTTGTTCCCGGCGCCCCCAGACCCCTTCTCCTCCCAGCCAGGCTGCTGCTCCGCTGTCCGCAGTCCGCGCCCCCATCCTCGCTGCGTGTTTGTGCTGCGCCGATAGAGGGTCTTGTTTGTGGCTTTTGTTTTCTTTTCTTGCTGGGCTAAGAAGAGGGATTTCCCCCCCCCGCCCCCTTTAAGAGTTGGACCGTCCCGCCTGAACCTGAGCGTCCCATGCTTCCCGCCCTCGCTCCCCACCTGTCCCTAACTCTGCCAGCAGCCAACTTTACTTTCTCTGACCTTATTGTGTTTAGGAATTAATGCCGGCGGCATTAAGGGGTAGGATGGAGGGGCTGAGCCGGAGAACGATTAAAGAAAGGGGAAGCCTACTCTGGTAGGCTCTTGCCGGGTTATTTGGCGATTAAAGGGTATGGGCACATGACCTTTAGCTGGCCACCCAGTCAGGAAGTGCATGTGCCCTGTCCTGGTGGAGGACCTCCCGGGGGTCAGGGTGAGTGAAGAGAAGATCCTCTCTCAGCCGGCCCTGGCCGCCAGGGGCCTCTCACCGAGAGAGCTGCTTTGTGGTTACTAATTGGAGGCAGGAGAGCGGAGGCCGTGATTCTGTGGTCTAGGAAAGCCCAGGTGTGTCTTTGTGCCCATCACTCCGGCGGAGTTACAGGAAAGTGGAGTGCCTATTAATGAAGGGTATAGATAGCACTTGTTTCTGGAATCCCGCTCCTGGTCCTCCATCAATGAGCAGGGATCCCATTAGGAAGAATTTTATGGGTGCCATGCAGAGGACAAAAAAACGAGTAAGGACTCTGCGGTGGGGATGCAGGCAGGCAGGAGATAGGTCCTGGCAGGGTGCTGTAACTTTGGTCAGGGGTTACCAGCCAACAAGACACAGGAAGTGACAGTTCTTGGGAAGGAGAACAGGCCATTCTGACTGTTGCTTGGCCCCATCCAAATGGCTTTCAAACTTTTTTTTTTTTTTACTATGACGCACCCTATGAAATTAACTTTACATCACAATTAATACATTCATATGGAGACATATGTAACTCAGACAAATGTTTCATAAAATAGTACCAACCCCTTCTATATGTAGTGCATATTCCTATTCCATTTGTTAAAAAAAATAAAATAAAATGTTCTTAAATGCTATTCGCATATAGTTAGGCCTTCCAGATACCAGTAGTTTGAAAAACTGCCTTTTTTTTTTTTTTTTTTTTTTAAAAAAACACAAAGTAACCCTTCCTGTTAGGCAAAAACAGATAACTTTGTAACTACTAATATTCATTATGCCCTACCAGGCGTCTTCAAACTACGGCCCTCGGGCCACATGCGGCCCGCAGAGGAGTCTGATCCGGCCCGCCAGATAACAAGTGCTATCTATACCCTTCATTAATAGGCACTCCACTTTCCTGGTTTTTTGGGCAGTGAGCGCAGCCGAGGTGTTACAGTAGGAATTAGTTCATATAGTCCGGCCCTCCAGCTCTCTGAGGGACCGTGATCTGGCCCCCACTTTAAAAAGTTTGAGGCCTACCCCATCACCTGCAAGTAAATATATCAGGACCTCAAGTAACATTGTTTTGTTAAACTAGTTTGGTAAATAACGTTGATGGGGTGGGGTGGGGGGAGTCAGTTCTTGGCTTGGCTAGGGCCACCATCTGTGGAGTTTTCACATTCTCCCTCTCTCTTCCTGGGTTTATTCCAGGAACTCCAGCCCCACCCCCACCCCTAACCCTACCCCAGAGATGCGCACATGAAGTGAAGGGCATTTCTCAATGGTCCCCGTGTGAGTGTGTGAACATTAGTGTGTCCTGCCTGCCATGAAAGGGCAGCCTGTCCATGGTGGGTTCTCACCTGCCCTGAGCTGCCGGGAGAGGCTCCAGCCACCGGCCACCTTTAACTGGACCCTTTGTATTAATTTTCCCTAAATGCATGTATAGCTAACATTTATTTCAGTGTTTAATATTTGAAACATTTGGGTCTTTAGAACTTTGGTGATGTTTTTGTTACCAGAAATGTGGGATAGACGCTTAATTCTTTTTTTTATATCAATTAGCCTTCGGTAAAATTGGTTTTGTTGTATGTCATTTTGCTTTAAAGTTACAGTTTCCAAAACCCTTGAGACAATGTTCAGTGAGGCCTACAGTTGATGGGAGCGTAAGATTCATTCTGGAAAGTATTAAAGAGTAATAGGAGAAATGGGATGTTAACAGTGATTCAGTGGTGGTAGCTCTGATGGCAGAGTGGAGGGAGGGGAAGGAGAAAAGAAAAATCCTGTGTTAACCACAGGTGGAGTTGATAAAATTGAAAGGCAGATCTGGGACCCACCCTTCCTTGTCAGTCACAGCTGGTGAGCATGGTTTTGTGGGTTTGTGTGATGTAGACACAGGTGTGTATGTGTAATGGTTTTCAGATCGAGGTTAGTGTGGAAAGAAGGCATTGCAAATGATACCTGGACACTTACTCTATATAGGCAGGCGCTTTACTACAATGGTGTTTCATTTCATTCTAATCACCGCTGTTATTTGGTGATCATTTATACCCAGTTTACACATGAGAGTATAATTCTTCTGGTTACAGAAGAGAGTAATTCCTTTATACATTTAGATACAAGGTTTGGAAAGCTGGGTTGGGCATCTGTAGGAAAAATCCGAGAGACATAAAAAGATGTTCTTTTCATGGTTGAAAATGATAGTTGTTGGATCTACAAATGATGTGAGGTCTTAGGAGCTTGTGAGTGTGCATAGACATAGACACACACACACACACACACACACACACACAGACATTCACACACTCCGTCTTTATCGGGAGCAGGGAGGCCCTAGAATGGCAGTGCTGGCCATCTGGGCTACAAAGCTGCTATTGAAACTGGGCCCAGATGCTAATGATGCAAGCTGGTGGAAGAGGTCGGCAGCCAGAATATCGCCTTTTCACGTGTTCAACCTTTATTTAGAGCCTTGATTTAAAGTTTTAATTTGCTCTTTGGGTTTCTAGTAAAATGTTCTTTTCTGTGCTTAATTAAGGGAAAAGACATTGTCACATTTGGAAATCATGCCTCTCTCTGTCTATGGAAGTGACATAGCTGTCTTACCATGAGACTGAGGACTTGTGTGTGGGTAGGCCTGAGGCAGATACAGCTTTGGACCTACAAAGCATGACACCTGTGAATCTGCCCCATTGGGCTATTTCTTTATGAGATTCACTTTGAATGGCTACATTTTCCCCAGAGGTATTTTGTGGATGTGTGGGTGTGAAAATTTCTGTACTGTGTGTGTGTGTGTGTGTGTGTGTGTGTGTGTGTTGGGGGGGAGGATGGCTGAGGGAAAGAGAATCCAATGAGGTTTTTAAAATGTTTCTTTTACCTTTGTTCTCCTGATTAGGGATGAATTGCTACCTGGTCTTCCCTCAGTCTCTATCAGTGCCTAAATTTAATTTAAACACTTATTTAGTGCATCTGAATGCTCTGTGTTTATGTCAAATGAGTGTACAAAGATCACTAACACTAATTCAGTGGTTCTCAATCTTTCTAATGACGCGGCCCTTTAATACAGTTCCTCATGTTGTGGTGACCCCCAACCATAACATTATTTTCGTTGCTACTTCATAACTGTAATGTTGCTACTGTTAATGTATCGAAATGTAAATATCTGTGTTTTCCGATGGTCTTAGATGATCCACAGGTTGAGAACCGCTGCTGTAGAGCCTAAGACTATCGGAAAACACAGATATTTACATTACAATTCATTAACAGTAGCAACATTACAGTTATGAAGTAGCAACGAAAATAATTTTACGATTGAGGGTCACCACAACATGAGGAACCCTATTAAAGGGTCGAGGCATTAGAAAGGTTGAGAACCACTGCACTAATTGTAGTCTGCATGCACTTTCTGTGTAGTCAATAGCAAATGAGGATTTTCTTTTGAACAGTGGAGTTGGTGGAGGTGCACTGGGATTAAGGCTAGGTGTGGTGTCTGGGACATGACTTGGATACTGCCCAGGTCATCTGACTTGTGCAAACAAGGCTCCAGCCATGGGTGGGAAGGTGACAAAGAGCAATGAGGATGGAAAATTTGGAGCGTAACTTTGAAATGGGAAGAGCAGTCCTGACAATGGCTGGCTGAAAGAGGCCAAGAGAAGGCCAGTTCTGAGAGCCAACAGGAAGGTCTCTTAAGATAACTGTGTTGTGTCCTTTCTCTGAAGTTTCCATCTGATGCCAATGAAGTACAGTTGTGGTTAATTTCACTAGTCCCAGAATGTGGAGCCTTTCCCAGGTGACTCAGCCACTGTGGTTTTCAGGGAGAAGTCAGTTTGTGGTCATCTGCTGTGAATTCTGCTGCTTCTCTTGAAAGTCTATGGAGGGTAAAGTAGGAGTGGGCATTCTAATGCCCACAGGGTATTGAGTGCCCACCGTGTGTCAGGAACTAATCCTTCCAACAATCTAGACTGTAATGGTGAGAAAAACTGATGAACCGAGCCTACGTCATCTTACTCACGGGGTGGAGAGGGACAGAGCGATCCAGGCCAGCCTGTCTCCAGTGCCTGACCTCCTTCCCCACACCGCCCGGCCCAGAGTAAAACGATATCGGGTCTGAAAAATGGAAAGGTTTTTCCATGACAGTTGAATGCACTGGAATGCAGGCCTGGATGGCATGTGGCTGACTCAAAATCACCAGGACAAGTTTCTCCCTGCCCCGAGTTTCTTTAAACTGCCTCTTCCTTTGTTTTGGAAATCTCCTCATTCTAAGTGACTTTAAGACTACATATTTAAAACTGGTTAAGGCCGAAGCCGGTTTGGCTCA